ACAACTTCTGACAACTAGTTTCTACAATATAAACTTTGGACAAATTTATTTTGGGGGAACTGCAATAGAAGTATACAGACCAAATAATTTATCATTAGAGAGGAGACCATCCCTGAAGAATGATAGGACATCGTAGGAGTATAGCATATGGATCCAAGGTGGCGCAGTGGTTAGAGTGCAGCACTGCAGGCTACTTCAGCTGACTGCTAGCTGCAGTTCAGCAGATCAAATCTCACCGGCTCAAGTTTGACTCAGTCTTCCATCCTTCCGAGGTGGGTAAAATGAGGACCTAGATTGTTGGGGGCAATATGCTGACTCTGTAAACTGCTTAGAGAGGGCTGTAAAGCACTATGAAACGGTATATAAATCTAAGTACTATTGCTATTTCTATATTTGCGACATATGTTGGTCTGCTTACCAACTGACTACTCACTAATTATAAATATTCTTGGTGAGGGATTTGTAAATCTCTCTTTCAATAAAATTGAGGGTGAGCCATGTAGGTGAGCCAGTGTAAGTTCTGTTGGCACAAGGATAGATAAAGTTGGTAAAAGACATAAACATGAATTCATTATAGCAAAGATGTACAGTGTTAGATCTATCCTTTTTCACATTGAGATCTACAGTTTTCTGCTTAAAATGCTCCAGGTTTTGTCCAGGTATGACAGAGATAAAGACCGAGGGTAAACTCACAATGAATCAGATAAGATAAAGTTTGATTTTTCCGTGGAAAAATTTATCCGGCTATAAATATAAAGTGTGCTAAAGTGTTCACCCTACATATTTGTTTGAGCCAGTGCTTTATCTAGTACAGCCTCAAGTGGACCTCCATGGAGACTTATCTAGGCTCTAATCCAGTGGTGAAATCTAAAATTTGTTACTACCAGTTCTGTGGGCGTGGCTTGGTGGTGGTAGGTAATGTGACTGGGTGGGCGTGGCCAATTTTTTTTTACTTTTAAAACCATTTTTTGCATGTAAAACCATGTAAAAAAATGCTTTCAAAAGGCTCTGATGATCCCAGCTGAGTTGCCTGATCGTCAGAGGGTTTTTAAAAAACCCTCCGCTGATCAGGCAACTCAGCTAGGATTGTCAGAGCTTGGATCATCAGAGCCATTTAAAAGAAAAAACTTTTTTTCTTTTAAATGGCTCTGATGATCCCAGCTGAGTTGCCTAATCGGCAGGCAACTCAGCTGGTATCGTATCGTCAGAGCTTGGATCGTCAGAGCTTGGCTCGTCAAGAGGCATTTAAAAGAAAAAAAGCCTCTGATGATAGAGCGGCTCAGCTGAGCATGGGGGTGGGGGCAGGGATTTTTGCTACCGGTTCTCCGAACTGCCCGCTGCCATCGCTACCTACTCACCCAAGCTGGTCCGAACCAGGAGCATTTCACCCCTGCTCTAATCAGAGATTTCCATTTGCATCTGAACAAAGAGCTTGGAGCATAGATCTCAAGAATGTACATTAGATGTTAGAAACACAAGGGTATCCTTATATATTTTCATTAGTTAAATATGGTTGTTCATTTTCCAGGCATGAGGGTTGACTGGTATACCATTTATATAAAAGCACCTTTGTTTTATATGGCTGATTTCCAATATTTTCAACTGCTAGAATAATGTAGAACATTAATCTTTGTCTCAGTCCTACTTAGGATACAGGAAGAATAACAATATGATCAGTGCGTAATGATATTTATTAAATTATAAGGCCACCAAACTCCATAAGATTGTGTGATGCATAACATTACAATAGTAAAAAAAAAAAAAAAAGCAAAATAACACTATGTCTCAAAATAAAGTGGCTATTAACAGGTAAAATCCAGAAGGGCCTTGACACTCTCCATAACCCAGGCTCTGCAGAACCAGCAAGATTTTCAAGAACTTGTCACAGTGGGAACCATATAGCTCTCTATGAGGATACAGTTCCAGATGGTAGTATTGTGACTGAAAAGGAGTGATTCCTGAGTCCCGCTAGGCATTGTTTAATTGCTGGAGCCTGGAGCATGCCCATTCAGCCTGATACAAGATGGCAGAAAGTATTTGAGGCAGACACATCCTTCAGATAACCAGGCCTTATGCTATAAAGAACTTTTATATATTAACTGTACTTAACATTTGAACTGCACCTGGAAGCCAGCTGGTGATCAGTGCATGTGGTAGTGGAGAAGGCCTTCATCTCAGTGTGGAGAGAATCTCGCTTTATTTTTTTAAATTATGTTTGTCTCTAGTTGTTCAGGACAAGTGTCTGCTGTGAATAGGGAAGGAGATTCTGTTTTGAAGAGAAAAATGTGTTTTTTAGACTTATTCCAACTTATTTTGTACCCTTTTTAGTGAAAAAAGAAAATTGGCAATACTTTTGGGTGAGGAGGCTTACATGTTCTTTGCAAAAATATATAAATATTCAGAATGGTGTCCAGCATTTTTCTTAATATCAAATTTGGGATATAGTGTAGGATGGCCATTGTGTTTTAAATGAGCTCATTCCTAATAGCTCTAATACACCATTAGTTATGCTGTCCTCTGATTCCACAATCATTGTATGTGAAGGGATTTTAGGTTGATAACAAATCTTCATAGAGATTCTCAATATAAGAAGAAAAGGTGACCTATCAGTGTTGGGGAACAGGATTCCTTTAAAGGATTGGGGAGGGGGATTTACCTTAAATTGTCTAGTGTGTAAGTGGCCAAGAATTATTGGCAAAGTTGTATGGAAAACAGGCTGTTTTCAGTTCTCAATTTATTATATTGATTTAGAATTTGCATAGGGTCTCTTAGAGTAGGCTTGCAAATAGCCAGATCATCTATGATGGATGAGAATTTACAAAAAAATGAAGAGCAAGACTGAAACTTTATTTACAGATTTCTAAAGTATATAATATTATTCTAAAATAGATTCATCTTACTTCCTGTTTCCCACATAAAGAAAACAAACCCCAGACAATTCTCTTTGAAGTTATTACATTCCTGTTTTGTTTTTTTATCTTCTCTCATTCCTCAGGGCGTCAGAACTATTTTACTTGTTGGTGCATGCTCCTTACTTTTCAGGGCAAAAAGGTTAAAGTCAGAAACTACAGATTTGCCTTAATTCAGTTGTTCAATTGGTACTTTTTTTTCCAGGTCAAGGTGAGGCAGACAATTTCAAATGTTTGTGGGCTAGGAATCATGATTTTGTTGTCTTGATAGGAATGTTTATGTAAGTGTTTTAGTGGAAGAAATAAATATAGTCAAGGTATAATGCTGAGTCAATTCCAGTCAGTGCTTGATTGGAGGGGGAAGAGCAAAGGATTGCTCCCCAGCACCCTCCTGTGTGGAGTGCCATAAAGTCATGCCCTCTTCCCCCTCCCACAACAACTTCTATATGAAATCACTAGGGGAGGCCATCTACCAGTTTGGCTTTGGTGTCATCAGTATGCTGATGATACCCAATTATATCTTTCAGATCTGGACTGGCTAAGTGAGGGTGGCAAAATTCTATCCCAGGGCCTGGAAGCTGTGCAGGTTTGAATAGGGAGGAACCATCTCTGACTCAATCCTACCAAGGCCGAGTGGTTGTGGATGATTGGATTATCCAGATCTGGGTATACCAGTATTCCATCTTTGGTATTGGATGAGGTAGTACTTCCCCTTCAAAGTTGGTGCACAATCTAAGGGTCTTCCTGGACAGGCAACTCCTACTTGAAGAACAGGTGACAGCTGTGGTCAGGAAGGCCTTTGGACAACTTCATCTGAAGTTCCAACTTTTTTTTTTTATTGTGGGCCCTTTAGAGTACCCATGCTGTAGTCACTACCCAGCTTGACTATTGTAACACACTTTATAGGAGGCGCCCTTGAAGACAACCTAAAAACGTCAATGGTCCAAAATGCAATGGCATGAGTGTTCTGTCCCCGTCTCCACACACACACACACACACACAGCCAGCCGAGGGTTAAAGGAAGCACTTGGCAAGCACAGTTTGTTATCAAAAACTTGGCAGTAATACGAGCACGACTGCCAAGTTCTTTTTACTTAATATCCCTTCACCAGATAAACAGAAATACACACAGTTCGCAAATAGTCCAGTTCAAAACAAGAAACCTTCGGCAGATTTAAGCGTTGTTCAAAGTGACTAGCCAGAGTTAGTTTTTGTCCGTCAGAGAGTCTTAAATGGCCACCACACTCTCTTATATAGTCTCTGGGGTGTGGTCCAGTGACTCAGCCTAATCCCTGGCACGCCTCCTCAACTGCTGCAACCGTTTATCACGCCTTTGTTGGCGTGGATCCAGGAACGACAGATCGCTTCCATCGCTATCATCGGAGACACCTGGCTCCTGGCTAATCTCCTCTTCCTCGGCCGGCACCTGAGGCAGTGCCAGAGAGGAGGGGCCTGGAGAGGGAGGCCTGGCCGACTCCTCTCCTTCATGTTCGGAGCCTTCTCCCTCCGATAAGATAGGCTCGGAGGACGGAGCCACAACAATGAGTAGTAATGGACATGCCTTGATATGGGTATTATAGTCCTGATTCATGAATTGCATTGGTTGCTAGTTTGCTTCCGTGTACAATTGCAGCTGCTGATTGTTATCTATAAAACCCTACATGGCATGTGGGACCAAGTTACTTGAGATAGCTTCTATCCATCCACTTTGATTTTGAAAGGTTGGTGCACTCTGAGTTCTTTTAATTAAATAATGTCATCTATCAGGACAATGAAATGTCCTTTCTGTAACAGTGCCTACTCTCTGGAATGAGGTAGATCCATATGGCTCCCGCTCTGCTGTTGTCCAGAACAGCCATTCTTGGCAGACAAACATTTACAGTTACTCGGGATAGTGAAATAGGTGGCATATCAATTTATTAAATAAATAAACACAATTAAATGATGACTCATTAGCACTAATCTTCCTTCTCATCAGTTCTTGAAGCTTTTCATTAGGGAGATCTATTTCCATAAACTACAAAGGCTTGAATTTTATAACTTGCACAATATTATTCTGACCAACCTAATATTTCTCTTTTTTCCTCCTAGAAACTAAGAAGCCACCAGTGGCCCCAAAACCAAGACTGGTGATAGGACACAAAATAGTGCCACCTCCTGTAGCACCAAAACCAGAAGTTGTGGTGGTGGATGTTTTGCAATCCTCAAGAAAAACAAAGCCAGTGATAGCACCAAAACCAAAGGTGCTTAAATGTTCGACTGTTCCTGAACTTAAAACTGCCCCCACTTCCATAAGGAGAAATTTAAAGACTTTAGAAGATCACAAAAAAGACTCTTCTGAGTACTTGGTTCATCTGAATTATAAAAATGGGATTCCAACAGATAATGCGGCTTATATTATATCTCTCTGTTCTTGCAATTTTGAATGCATTCATAAATGTGGAAATCGGGAGGATACCCACAAAAAATGCAACCATTTTTGAACAGTTAGAAAACCTAGAGAACATTAATATAGATGAACAGCCATCATCATCTCTAAAGCGTGGGACAATATTTGAAAGCAATAATGAAAACAATTTAAATAACTATAAGGTTGTCTTAAAGGCTAATGATCTAGAGGAAAAACTTGAAGATGTTATGATACAAAATGTTTACCCTAATAATGGCCATTTGAGACAAAAACATTTAAGTAAATATCAAACAGTTAATGCAGTTAATTCTAACAAAAATGTTAAAATAGAATTTTCTCCACCTATATCCAATGTAGAAGAATTTAAGGAGAGTTCAAGTAATGATGCAAAGTTAACTGCTGTTGAATCTGAAATGTTAGAAGTTCCACTTTTGACTGAAAACAACAATAATTGTTTCTCTTTGAGTAACCCAGCACATATGGAAAAAATGGATGTGAATAATACATCTGTGATATCTTGCACAAAAGACAGTGACAAACTTTCATGTGGAACCAACTCGGTAGTATCAACTAAACCTTTTCCAGTTCCAAAACCAAGAAAGCTACACACTCCCTGTCTAGTTCGTCAAGATGGCATAGATGCTTCAGGAGAGGATGAATGTGATAGTTCTGGGATTCATGAGTTTGCCATTAAGAATACAACAAAAATTAATGTTCTAGTTCAAAGTGTTTCCTATAAAAATCAAGAACATCAAAGTGCAGTAGATAAATCTGAAGTTGCTTCATATTCTGTAAGAAAAGTACATTCAACATCAGAATCTACTGATGCCAAAGAACTGATTCCACAAAGCCAGTTATCTGAAATTGCACATAAACACTGTCCCTTTTTAGAAAATATTGGGCATTCTTCAGACCTTAATTCAATAAAACCTTCCATTAACATAATGGAAGATAACAGTATGTTGGCAACTGATGCTGAAGAGACTGGCTTTGTAAGGTGTAGTAACCTATCCATGAGTTTGCCTAAACAAATAAAATTATCATGCAATCAAACTTTACCTGCCTTGGTGACTCTTGATGACTCTGCACAAAAGAAGGAAGCTAAAGATGTTTACTTAAAAGGTGAAAGTTCATCTCGAATCATTCCAAAGAAACCTCAAAGACATGGCATTGCTGTAGCTGGGCTTTTGAAAAAATCTGCATCAGAGGAACTATTAGACACAAGTGCTTACTTTTCTAGTGAAAATAAAACTTTAGAGGCTCCTTTGGAGAGGCCTCGGATAAGGCATTTCTCAGCCAGAGAACAAAATACAGTCTTATTGTGTGATACTCCAACATCATCTTCGGAAAAACCAATTTGGAAATTACCTCATCCTATTCTTCCATTTTCAAGAAACCCAGAAACCTTAAAAAACACAAAAAATGCAAAAAAGGTAGAAAACTTCAGTACTGTAACTAAACCTCGAGCCAAGTCCTTGTCTTCTGTAGATATGGACAGAATACACAAGCCTCCAAAAGAACCTCAAAAGAAAAGCTCACTAAAAAAATTCTTAAATATGAAGTGGTCTGTTTGGATGTTGAAAAGTGACTTCCAAAAATTCCTGGCAAAGGGCACACAGTCTACAGATAATGCCAATGGGGATATTCCTAGTGGAGAGGGGCCTGGCAAAAATGGAAATGCGATTGCTATGGCAAATGGAAGGAAAGCTAAACCGGCAAAGGCACATTCAGCAGAAATAGGCAGTTTTTTCTCACAAAAGGGAAAACAAAAAACCAGAGCTCAGAATGAAATTAAAATCAATCAAAGATCAAAGTCTTTAGATGAACAGACTTTCTCATTACAAGGACACTTGACTTCTGTTACTCAAGACAATACACATGAATATGAAAATGTAAGCCATTATGAAGAAATCCCAGAATATGAGAATTTGCCTTTTGCAGCTACTGATGAAAACATACGTTTTGACAGGCAAAATTCTAGCATTGTTGAAAACCAGGATACTAATATGTATGAGGTGGAAGAGCTGTATGAACCTACAGGGAGCTGTTTAGAATTTGGCAGGTAAGGTGCTAAAATGGAAACACTATAGGTGTATGTATAGGTGTGGTTTTCCCATTGCATCAATCTGTAGGGTTGTTTTTACTTTTAATAGGCTCTGTACATTCACCTATTGGGGTTTGTAAACTGTTTATGGCATAGCATTATGCATGAAAGCCTACTTTTCAAAACTACAATTAGCATGATGTGTGAAACATTTTATTATTGCTGACATCTCTATGCTCCAAATAGTTTTTAACTTATCCAGAAGCATAGTGCATTTGGTCTCTATATATGTCATAATCACTTTTGTTATTAATCACATGGTTAGCTAACCATGCTAACCATAATCACATGGTTAGCAAGATAACTTTTATTGGTTGCTGTTTTAGAGCAGGCTATTTCCCATTTTTATATTTTGTTTAAATACACACTTTTCTTTCGCCATTTTTGATGGATCACTGGCTTGATTTTTTCTGAAGGCAGTTTATGGCATAAGCAATTTGACTTTTTGAACAATAGTTAACTTTTATCCTAATCTGCGAGCAAATGTCCTTAAGCAGCTGAATGTGGAAATACAATGATTGGACATCCATATGAACAGCTACAAACCTGAACTAAATTTGATGAAATTATTGCAAACTTGCATACAAATCTCATTGATGATTTCACTGGATTTTGAAGATGATAGATATACTTATAATTGATTGACTGACTGATTGATTTAATAAATTTATATGTCCTCCTCCAATCACAGGTTATAACAGCTTACAACATTAAAAATCCACAACATGAAAACCTATAATTGTTAGAAATAGCTTGCTATAACACAGAATTGCTTTTAGGTTTTGTAACTTCAGGCTGCAAGAATAGAGTTTTATGAATCCAATGTTTCCTTATCACAATCTTATACATAAGCTTGTCATGGAGAAAACTGGCTATTTGAATTATTCTCTATATGTGCAGGGAATGTAGGCTGTGTTTTTCCTCTGGAGAAAGATTTAGATGTTGCAGTCTCTGACATGTAGTCTGTCATACAGTATATAATTTTGAAACAGGTTTGCCAGGTCATCTAATAATACTGCAATATAGACAAGTTCAACATTGACCAAATGAATATAGCAATGTAAAACTAGACAATTTTATTATTCTCTAAAGATCCTTATGGCAGCAATCAGGGTTATTCTTATCTATATTTGAACAAAGAAATATTTTTCCTTCATAATGTGAACTCATTAGTACTGATGAATAGGTTCCCAGGAAAAGCATAAATTGACAGCATATTTTTAATTAACATGAATGAATGGCAGTGATGGGCTTCTCCTGGCAAGAATAGCATAGTATCTATAGCATAAACCCAAATAATGGCAGAAAAGACAGAAGCCTTGTCTTAAAGTAGTATACATTCCTGAAGTTTTGATATTGTGCCAAAAAAAAAAAAAAAGATAATGTTTTGAACAATACGAAAACCTGGAAATTTTGTAATATTTGCTCCTGAATTGCTTCTATCATCTATGTAAATATAAATATGCAGAACTTTCATTTGGTATTATGTGCATTACAAAAAATATTTTTTACTTTATTATGGTGAAACTTTGGATTTTCTATTTTCTGCATTTTTTGCACTGGTTGTCTCAGTAGACCAATAAGGAAGCAAACTAGTACAAAATAAAGGCATTTCAGCATTTGAATTGAGAAATGATGTCATATAATACTTGAACAAATGTTAAGAAATTGCACTAAAATTAGGATATGACAGAATGCAAAAATATGAAACTGTCCAAACTGTAGCTTGTTTTTTATGTTTGTAAATTGACGTTAAATTACAGTTCCTTTTTTTGGACATAAAGAGCTAATGATTTAAACTTGGTAAGATTACTGTTTAAGAAAGCCAAGATAATGTAATTTATGTTTTTCATCCCTAAAGTTGCTATTTATTTTACAAACTACAAAATATGTATCTGAATTGATATAAAAGTGTTTTAATGTTTGATTTCTGGAAGTGTACATTTGATTCATGTTTTACAAATGGAGCGCACTTGTAATTTTATTGTGTAGGATGGGATTTACTTATTCCATCTTTTTTTTTTTTACTTATTCCATCTTTTTAATCTTTTGTCCTTTTTTCCTTTCTTTAATTTTCTGCTGTAAATATGATGCCTAATGAAATAGGTATAGTAAATTGCACTATATGTAATTGCATATAATTGCATTATATGGTACCATGTTAAAACTATTGTTTTTTAAAAAACGTAACTTTTTTGACATCTCAAGAACTGTTTGTCAACTGGAAATGTATATAGCCTATGAGAACTGATGTTTGAGAATCAGAAATTGCTTGACTGTAAATTTGAGGTCAGCTCTCAAAGTACCAGTAAATGTTTTTTAGTATAAACTATTGGCAAAATATAATCAGAAATCTGTTTATTTGTGAGATACAGCTAGAATAAAGCTGTTACTACTTTAAAGCCATAGTTAAGAAAAAGTGCTAAAATCAAATATTCTGTTAAAGAGAATGTGCAAAAGTCTCCTTCTCCCTTTATGGCATAGAATTTGTAGCTGAATGAATAAATTTTAAACTTTTAACTGATCCAAAGAAGGTATTGTTTGTAGAGAATGTTTGCTTTTGGCCAATAGAAATGCTACTGCTTTTTTACAGAGAAATCAAAAATTAATTCTAGAAAACATAAATTGTATGATAACACTAATCTGATATTTATAAAATATTGCCTTGAACATATCCAGTTCAGTAAAAAAATGATCAAGGTCAGTTTTATCTGAAATAAACATATATTTCAGTAGTTTTTGTTTTCAGAATTTATAATTAAATAGATTTGATGCAAAAAAGGGATTTGAAAGGAAGAAGGAAAAACTATTTGTTTTAATGAACTTACCATGTTCTTTTTCATTATTTGTCATGATCAGTCTCCAAAGTACCTATGATTTTGTAACTATGTGCCCTTAAATATTGAAAAACGAAATCTGTAAAAAATAGATTTAATCCATGTTTCAAAACAATGTATTGCCTGAAAAATGTGTGAATTTAAATACCTGAAATTAACTACAGTTGACAGGAGAGAAGAGAATGATAGTTATATTATTTTCTTCTGTTCTGGAACAGATAAAAATGGGGAACCAAAGAGAAAATTAATTTTAAGAAGTAAATTAATAACGAAAACATATAACATCTTGGAAGATGGTGACATACCATGATGAGAAGGGTCATAATAGTGAAAAACATTATCTTCCAGTGGTAAAAACTGTGTACTAAGAAAAAGTGAGAGAAATTAGATTACAGGTAGTCCTCGATTTACGATCACAATTGAGCCCAAAATTGCCATTGCTAAGCTAGGCAGTTGTTAAGTGAATATTGCCCCATTTTACAACCTTTCTTGTTAAATGAATCACTGCAGTTATTAAATTAGTAACACGGTTGTTAAGTGAATCTGGCTTTCCCATTGAGTTTACTTGTTAGAAATTCGCAAAAGGTGATCATATGCAACCCAGGACACTACAAGTGTCAGAAATGTGAGTCAGTTGCCAAACATCTGAATTTTGATCACTTGACCATGGGGATGCTGCAACAATCGTAAGTGTGAAAAATGGTCACATTGAACTTTTTTCAACGCCATTGTAACTTTGAACGGTCACTAAATTAATTGTTCTAAGTCAAGGACTACAGTACCTGTATTATCAGTCCTTGAAGAGGATTTGAAGAAGGCAAGGACACATAGAACAGCAAGAATTTCAGGAATCTCTTCTTTGTTGTAAGGTACCATAACAAAGTCTTCAAAGATACCAGTTTCACTCTACCACATTTTATGAGCAACAAAATCAAGGCAGGGCTATTATGAGTTTCTCTCACAGGCTTTTTCCTTTTTCCCAGGACTGACTAATTCTTTCTCCTCCCTTATTGGTTCATAGCTCCCTTCTTCCGACTCAAGCTAGGTCTACATACTTTAACATCTGCTTTGAATTATTGATTTCGAAATAGAATCAATTGTATCGTGCACTGCAAGAACAAACAACCAAATATGCAAGACAAAACTTGCGTATTTGGAGCACCTGGCTGGATAATAAATTATGTGAGCCAGGTTGAAGAAATAGAAGAAAGGGAATGCAACGGATAAATTGGATAGATGGGATCAAAAAGATTATTGGGATATCTGTGGAAAAGCTATACATTATTATTAGAAGCCGCTGAAGACAGAGAGCATCTGTCTCTACAGTCACTGGAATGAAACTCTCTTCTAAAGTTAACATGGCAAAAATTTAGTGCAGTATTCCTTTATTTAATTGAGTTAATTTGCTTTAAAAGTAAAATCAAGTAATTACATTCAGCAAACCAGAATGCTTCCTCTAGGTATATGAGAAGACGTGTTGTCTTACAGGCTGTGACAAGCTATTTTTCATCAAAGAACAGTATAATGACTCAGTGGTGATTTATTTCACATGACTGCTTATGCAGAAGTTTCTCTTTCAAAAAAAAAACCCCAAAACCCTTACTTTGTGGTAATCTTTAACATGACAGTGTGGGAGATTGTTTTAATTAGCCTAGTATGCTATATTTTTAGCTTACAGATTGAAATACATTGATATTCAGAATTATTCTTTTTTGATGGGTTTCTCTTGAAATCAGTTCATGAGAAATTGAGTAACCATAGAATCTGGCCTTTCTGGGTGTTTCACATTTGCACCTTCTGTTTTGCTTTCCAATATAGCTATATGTGTCCAATATCTTTACCTTTTGTGGCAGGGGCTCTCAGACTTTGGGATATCACAATTCTCTAAAATATTTGGTAAGGTTCTTATCAGGCAACATTTAAAACTTTTCACTATTTGATAGTATTACAGAAGATCAGTATATAAAATAATCTGATTAAGGTAAATAAGCTAATGAACAATGATATTTTGAGGTATTTTTATTTATTAAGAAAGTATATTTTAAGTTCTCAGCTGACTAATATTTATATAATAGAGCAGATATTTTGAGGTATTTTTATTTATTAAGAAAGTATATTTTAAGTTCTCAGCTGACTAATATTTATATAATAGAGCAGATAACGTTAACATTTGGATAACATGGTATATTTTAACTGTGCCTTCAGAAACCTTTGAATATCAATATGTTTTTGTTTGAAAGTGAGTGGGTAAAATGATTTTGAAGTCATCAGAAAATAATAAAAAAGCACATCTCTCATTGTGGGATAGAAAAAATGAATGATATAATGAGAAATGTTGACATTTTTACCAGTAAAAAAAAAACAAAAATTTTTAAGACATCCACCAAACAAGGTAATTTGTAAAGAAACTTGGATGATCACGTTAACAATTGTGATTGAAAAAAAATTGTGTTCCTTTATGAAACTGTTATTTCTTTCTTTGAGGATTCTATTATACAATTTATAGTTGTATTGATAGTTAACAGATTTCTATAGTGAATAGCATTCTGTGTTTCAGCCAACAATTAGATGGAACTCTGCTTATGTTACACAATGTTGTAGGTCATCAGCAGAACGTGATGGATCAGAATTAATGTTAGAAGATATACATTCAGATGATGAAATAATGCCAAGAGATGTGAATAGCTCTGATGAGGATGAAGATGATACGAATTCAGACTCCAGTAAAGGGGAGTCTGATGCACAAGAAAACAAGCAAGTAAGACTATAACATTTGCTTACATAATCTATTTTGTCATGAGTCTTTAGAGAATATTGTTAACAGTTGGAAAAAATGAAAGCAATAGGAAAAAAAAATACGCTATAACTTCTTTTATTAGAGAAACGACAATATTTATATTTACTGATGACTGGAAACCCCTTTTCTCAAGTTTTTATGACTTGGGAAACCCCAAGTTTTTTATAAAAAAATGAACTTGTTATTTATGGTTTTGATGATGAGACAGGCTAGATAGTAGAAAGAAGTCATGAAGTAATTTTAAATATATTAAAATATATTAAATATATTTTAATATATAGAAATATATTAAAATATATTTCTAACTGCTGTAAAGAACATCAGAAGCAACTTCTTTATGACTTTTTCTTTATCTCTTTCTTTATCTCTTTATATCTTCTATTTCTTCTACAGGTAGTCCTTGACTTATGACCACAATTGAGCCCAAAATTTCCATTGCTAAGCAAGACAGTTGTTAAGTGAGTTTTGCCCCATTTTATGACCTTTCTTGCCACAGTTAAGTGAATTACTGCAGTTGTTAAGTTAGTAACACAGTTGTTAAGTGAATCTGGCCTCCCCATGAACTTCGCTTGTCAAAGATCACAAAATATGATCATATGACCCCAGGATATTGCATAATACATGCCAGTTGCCAAGCATCCGAATTTTTATCATGTGACCATGGGGATGTTGCAATAGATATAAGTGTGAGAACTTTTTCACCCCCACTGTAATATTGAACAGTCACTAAATAAATAGTTATGAGTTGAGGACTACCTGTATTTTCTTACTGCACTTTTAACTTTTTTGTTCAGTGTGTGTGTGTGTGTGTGTGTGTGTGTGTGTGTGTGTGTGTATCGAAGCACCTGGGAGGGAGTGTACTGCTTCCCTTTCGCCTTTCAGCTCCAATCCAGGAGCCCTCAAGCAGTTGCATTCACAACAAACCATTTTATACCAAATTTATATCTGCTGATAAAATCTCCCTTTATTTCTTTATCATATGCATCCCTAGTTCAGTGAAATCACAATTCACTAGTTTCTGGGCTTTTTTTCTTCCTTCTGGCAGCCAGCAGATCCTTTGCTGCCCATTGGGAGACTAAGATAGATCTATTTCAGCCTTATAAGGCCTCATCAGTTAGCCACACCCTCAACTCATGTATCCTCCCTGTAAAGGTACAATATTTGTTTTTCTTTCTTTTTCCAGGGCTGCATAATATCTTGGTTTACGTAGGTAGAACCTGGCTAAAGAGAAATACACATAAAACCTACGAAAAAGAAAGAAAAACAAATATATATGTGTGTGTGTGTGTGTGTGTGTGTGTGTATATGTATATGTATATGTATATGTATATGTATATGTATATGTATATGTATTTGTATTTGTATTTGTATTTGTATTTGTATTTCTCTTTAAAGCCTAGAAACCTGGCTAAAGAGATACACATAAAAGCCTACGAAAAGAAAAGAAAAGAAATATATATATATATATATATATATATATATATATATATATATATATATAAAGAGAGAGAGAGAGAGAGAGAGAGAGAAAATAGGGGGGAGGGGGAGGGAGGGAGAGAGGGAACCATCTGTCATAATATTCTGATTATAATATATTATCAATCATTATAATAACTGAATATTCATCTGCATAAGGAACAATTGAATATAGACAATAGAGCTGCATGCAATAAAATTATAGGATAAATTTTATGTGTAAAAAAATTAATGTCTAAAATACACATAATCCAGTAATATTGCTTTTTTACCCTTCCTATGTTGATTTTTTAATATTTGCTTTTATTTTTAGTTTAGGGCATCTGGGAAGAAAACAAAGGTTTATCATATTGCTAAGGAAATCATGAGCTCAGAGAAAGTGTAAGTATCTGTGTGGTACTTAATTAAATCTACTTTCCCTTACCTTTCCTCTCCCTTTCCACTGAAATGCTTTTGTTCTTCTCTTGGCAATAGGTTTGTAGATGTTCTAAAGCTCCTGCACATTGTAAGTATTTAATTTTACTTTTATAAACATATGTTTAGTTTATAAACATCTTAGCTTAATCATCCCTGAAATTCTTTTAAAAATTGTCTTAAACTACGATTGTTATAATGTTCCTCTTTGTAAAAAAAATTAAATCTCATGGAACTCTGCTAATAAGTTAAAACAGAAGGGATGTAATCATGATGTTTGATCCAAATTCTGCAAAAGTTTTGAATCGTAGATGGGTATGTTCTTAAGTTTTTAGATTCAGAACTAACAAACCTGAAAATAAGCACATGATAGACAGAAAGGAATTCATATACATTCCCCGAAAGGTCAAAATGTTGTAGAACCAGAGATTTGTTTTTGACATCTCAACATTCTTCATTTGTGTGTACATAGGTGAACCTTCATATATAAGGGAAATATAACATACCTATATTGTATAATGTTACTATATGCATTTAATCTAATCATAGTTGTGATCCATAAGCTTATAAAATGTGGAACATAGTTTATGATAATTTATGCAATTAAATGAGACCAGAATACAATCTCTTATAAGGTGCTTTAGGAGCAAATGTTGTACATTGTTATTCGACAGTGGAAAATAGTAAAATGATATATTGCTGTTTGTTTCACTTTTAGAATGTTTAGCCTTTATTTACATGTGTTAAAAACACATAAATGGAGAAATATACAATAAGACTTGAATAATTTGGTAGTATTATTTTAACTAAGCTTTTAAGTAACTGCCCCCCCCCCCCAGCATATTCGAGCATTACCAAAAGTATGTGAGCTTGACTTACTAGGCATCTACATTTAAAGTTGACTGTTGAGATTTTTCTATCCTTTGGCAATCAAAGTTCAAAGGCCAAGGCTCCTTGACAGTTCAGAATTTCTTAATTTTGTAGCCTATGAATTCCAAAATATCTCCACAAAATTTAAAGCAAAGATTCTACTTCTTATTCGTTTATATTTTTAGGAGTAAGGCTAAAAGTGTGAAGTTGGATCCATATTTAAAGAGCTCAATCTAACTTCTTGTCTGTGCAGAAAATTAGGCTTCATTATATGATCACTATTAAAACTGATGGAAAAGGAATTTATAGCTTTACAGAATAGGCTATTAAAAGTTTGTATTCCAAATTGATAGCTCTACACATTTTTTTTTTAAAAAAGGTCTTTCTAATTTTCAGATAGCACTTTTATTTTTTTAATTATTTATCTTTCTTATTGTGTCATCCTATAAATTGTTTACTATTCATTTCTAGATATATAATTTTAGCTGCATTGGAAGCCCTGGCAAAATGTTTGATTTCACAAGCAGCAAGAACAAATGAAAATTTAGACACTAGTTTAAGTTGCCTAGTTTAGACACTAGGCAAATAGGCACTTGTTAAAAAAGGATTCCTTTGGGAACTACTTTGCGCTTGTTAATTCGCCTATTGCACGGGTGTCAAATTTGATTGCATCATGGGCCAGATCATGACATATCGTGACATTTTTTGCCTTTGCGGAGCCAAGTGGGCATGGCCTGCGCCTGATGTATCTGGCCTGCGGGCTCCAGTTTGACAGGCCTGCCCTAATGGCTATTATCTAGGTAGCATGGCAAGTGCATGGGTGAGGAACATATGATAAATATGTCAGATAAATTCAGATATTAGTTTATGTACCAAATTTAGAAAGCTGCCCAAATTCTGGATGCCATACAACATACTACAAACCTAGGCAATGGGCATGAATGCTTTAGTACAATCATATCTGCATATAACGTTGAAGTGATAATCTGCATATTAGAAATTAGTGTGATTAGGCAGTGAACATGAATGCTTTGTACTTTCAAAGAAGAACATTTAAAATTTCCTTTCACGAAAAGTGCTCTTATACAAGCATCTTCTATTTTAATATTGTCATTATTTTTCAGTGTTGTTTCAGTTGTTACAGAAATAGAGTTTACTGAGTGCTATATGGACTAAATTTAGGAGGGCTTATCAGAGCATTACAAGTCACTTTTGAAACTGTTTCAAACTCAGTCTACAACATACAGCAGAATGTGTGTATGCTGATGAATAGTAGAAACACAGCTTCAATATATAAATAAATTTATTTGAGGGTAGCAATAAATATTCTAATGTTAACAAAAAATGACCATCAAAAAAGGATAATTTATTTAACACCAACGGGCTGCATATTGCACTATGTAATAAATGAGTTATTATGTATTTACAGTTACAGCTGTATATTAAAAGTTGAGGGGCATTATAATTCAATATTATAGTTCTGCTCAGCGTAACAATATAGTAAAATAAGCTCGCATTTTTTTCTGTGTCATTTTGTTTGTATGATTGCATATTGCATATACTGAGTAGAATTTATGATTGCTTTTTATCTGTCTTTCTGAAAAGCTATTTTTCTTCTAATCTTGTATAGAACAAGATTATATATCCATTAATATTTGTAACAGTGAATTAACAGATGCTCAGATTTAATTTTGGGCATTCAGGGTGTTTCCCCCCCCTCCTTTTGCTTAGCTGGAGCATTAGTGGAAATATACATCAGTTATTTTCTTCGGAGGACTAAGTTGAGAGGAGAAGTAATTATTGTGTTATTTGAGCCAAAAAAAGCTACATCTCAGTGTTGTTTTTCATTGATCCATGTTCATGAATAGGTGTGCTCAAGATTGAAGCATAAGTGTTTTCAAGAATGGGACATAATAAATGGAAAGTGCATACATTCCCAGCATTTTTCCTCTAGCAATTTTAAGCATTTCTATTAATATTAAGAAAGTTAAATGTTGCTTATGCTATTGAGTTCCATATGGGTTCTATTAAGCAATAGCAGTTACTTGGCTTATTTCTTTGCATGTGAAAATTATGAACCCCCAAGGATGCAAGAAATTAGTTAAATGTTGCCAGTTGGCCCCCATTGCATGAAAACTCTTCATTTCCATATGGACAAAGCCATCTGTTTTACCTTGGAATTTAATGTACTTTAGGCTTTAATATCAAGAGGCATCCCCATCCCTTCCCATTCCAGTTTTAGGTCATGCAATGTTAAAAGGAGGTTACAGTAAACTAAAAAAAAGTGGAAAGCCTACTAATATTCATTCCTCTGATGCACTGTTTTTAAAATTGTGCATAAGCCAATGTTTCAAACAGCTGTGCATCTGTGTATATAATTGCTGTGCCTTATTTGCATTGAAAAGCATGCAGTTATGAACACATGGAACAAATCTATTCTAATTAGATTTTTCTGATGTCTCCATACGGATGTTGGAATTGTTTTGGGGATATGGAAGCCATAATGAGGAAGCAAGCAAAAGCACAAGCACTGAAATTCCATTTCAAGTTGGCAGATGTGGGGGTAGATAATTCTCTATTTAGTGTGCATTTAGATTTGCACAAGAATCAGCTGGTTTGTAGGTGATATATTTTACTAATTGTGATTGAATATTGTAGAAGCGATATATATTTTAATAATGAATATTGATTAGTGTGTAATTTAGTCAGATATACTTTTTGCAGGAGAGCATACCATGCAATTTAAACATAGCAGAACTAAACATTTTATAAAACATAACTTCTTTCACATCTACTCTCTATGGTAATGTAGCTATTTTGCTAGGAGATCTGCATAAAAACAATAATAGAATTGATTGACTGATTATGTACCATCAAGTCATTTTCAACTCCAAGTGATCTTATATGTAAAAATATTTTTTTCTCCATAAAATAGCAACAGTAGTAATTTTATTCATGTGACATCCAAGGGGCCTCCAGAACTGTCCACACGTCTGTGTTCTGTACCAATTGTAGCTTCCAAATACTTTTTAAAGGTAGCCCCATGTAGAGCATGTTACAGTAATCCAATCAAGAGATGATTAGGGCATGAGTGACATAACTCTTTGTGGTCCTGTTTTAGTGTTCTAGAGTGGAAGTGGAGATTAGTTTTTCTGATACATGCTCTAGGATCATAAATTACTGGCTACTGTCACAATACAGGATTAATCATTTTTTAAAAAACCAGTAGTCTAGTTCTTAAACTGAATGGTCCTTGTGCAACCCTAATATGGAACATTGAGAGTTATGTATGTTACAGCTACTACTTGTTCTATAAATCTTCTGAAACATACAATCCTGGACAGACTAAGGTATCTCAAAATTTCAGCTTGATTGATACAACCTACTTTAATTACACTTTCCGGGGAAACTCTTGGAAGAAGTAATCCACCAGTAGGACACAACAATCAATGCTATCATTCATACAGTATATTCTTTATCACATCAGACATATAAAGTCGTGTTTTAATTTTATAAATTAATCAAACAATCCAAGGACATATCCATAGTGTATAATAAAACCTCTTACTAACAACTTTTTGGAAAAAGCATTCTATAGAAGAATTTTTGATAAATAATCCTTCCTGCCAAACTGCAATTTCCTGCTTTCTTTGCAGGAAACAACGAGAGTTAAAGTGGTGTAAGATTATTTTATATATTTTCAATATAAATTAAGATAGGAGTTAAATAAGTCAGAGAAATTGTTTAGATGTTTAGTCATGTCTTTTCAAAGCAAACTTTCCAAAAGATTGAATCTATATTTTGTTCAGGCTTGTTTGAGCTTGTCTTCCTTTCCAAAGTCTATTTTACCTTGGATTGCTTATCTGGTCCTAGAAAGTTGGGTAAATGGATAATCAATGTCTGTACACTGATTGATTGATTGAAAGAAAGAAAGAAAGTACATTGAAAGAAATGTAACCTGCATTGTTGTTTGGAGGCTAGTTTCTCAAAGTATGTTTATATGTTTCTCACTTGCCCTGTAATAGGATTTTCGGGATTCAGTGGCACATGCTTCTAGGCAGTTTGGAAAGCCAGTAATTGAAGATAAGGTTCTAAATCAGATCTTGTACTATCTACCTCAGCTATATGAACTTAATCGGGATCTCCTGAGAGAACTAGAAGAACGCCTTTCTCATTGGTAACATTTTCTTTCTCTCTCTCATTCTTTCTGTACCTTTTGCTTCTCATGGAGATTAATAGAATATCTTGATGAGTATCAAAACTTCCAATAAAATTTAGGGTGGAAAATAAGGTAATTGTCCAAAGCCTAAATTTACTTCACAAGCTACTGGGAGCCCTTTGAATTTAGGAAGCTACTTGGAATATATGTTGAAAGTAAAGCCCCTTTGGTTCTGAGCCTATTACAGCGACGACTAAATTTTCAAAGAAACATAACTATGAATAACCTAGATCTGAGTGTGGCTTCTTTTGAGATTCCTTGATCTCTGGATGAAGAATATATAAGGACAGAAAGGGGTAGAAAGAGAAAATACACATAGCCCCATACTCCCAGAGATAGTCCTCAATTTACAACCATTCGTTTAATGACCATGCAAAGTTACAACTGCATTGAAAAAATTACTCTCCAATACCAGTACTCACACTTACAACCATCAGAGCATCTCCACAGTCACTTGAGCAAAATGTGGGCACTTGGCAACTGACATGTGTTTACAATGGCCGCAGCATCCTGGAATCATTTGATCGCCATTTGCGACCTTCCCAGCCAATTTCTGACAGGCAAAGTCAGAAAATTGGGGAAGTCAGATTTATTTAATGACTATGTGATTCACTTAACAACGGCAGTGATTCACTTAATCATGGCAAAAAGGTTATAAAACTGGATGTGACTCACTTGACAGCTGTCTTGTTTAAGCAATGGAAATTCTGGTCTCAATTATGGTCATAAATCGAGGACTACCTGTACTGCATTCTTCAGCTGCAAATTCTAATTGTTTACTGTGTTGCATTCTAGGATTGACCATCAGAGAATTGCTGATATATTTGTGAAAAAGGGGCCTTACTTAAAGATGTATTCAACTTACATAAAAGAATTTGATAGGAATGTAGCCCTCCTTGATGAACATTGTAAAAAGAACCCTGGATTTGCGGCTGTTGTTCGAGAATTTGAGGTAATTTAATCTTTTCAAATATATTGGTTTTCACCTCATCTGCAGACTCTGGGTTTAAGAAAGTTTTATGTACTGTAAGTTCAGGATATAAAATGCATATATCTTTTTTTTTCAGATATAGTGTACATATGAATGAGGATTTTGTGAGGGTTAGATTGCACATATGTTAAGGGATCAATATTTTTATATTGATATTAGGTTGTTGAGAGTGTGGTGGCGTGGCAGCTTCCCCAGTACCTGGATGAAGCTGTCTATTTGGACCTGCTCCAGTCCGGTTTCAGGCCTGGGTACAGCACAGAAATGGCATTGGTCGCGTTGGTGGATGATCTCTGGAGGGCTCGGGGTAGGGGTTATTCCTCTATCCTGGTCCTGTTAGATCTCTCAGCAGCTTTTGATACCATCGACCATGGTATCATGTTGCACCGGTTGGAGGGATTAGGGGTGGGGGGCACTGTTTTGCAGTGGTTCTCCTCCTATCTCTCCGACCGGTCGCAATCTGTGTTGACGGGGGCAGCGGTCGACCCCGAGGCGCCTTGTTTGTGGGGTGCCACAAGGGTCGGTCCTCTCACCCCTTCTGTTCAACATTTATGTGAAGCCGCTGGGTGAGATTATCCGTACGGGGTGAGATTCCACCAGTACGCTGATGACACTCAGCTGTACATCTCCACCCCAGACCATCCCAACGATGCCTTGGAAGTGATGTCCCAGTGTCTGGAGGCCGTGCGGGTCTGGATGGGGAGGAACAGGCTTCGACTCAACCCTTCCAAGACCGAGTGGCTGTGGCTGCCGGCGTCTCGGTATAGCCAGCTGGTGCCATCACTGGTTATTGGGGGTGAATCATTAGCCCCCACGGAAAGGGCCCGCAACTTGGGTGTCCTCCTGGATGCACAGCTGTCTTTGGAAGAGCATACGACGGCCGTGGCCAGGGGGGCTTTCTATCAGGTTTGCCTGATACGCCAGTTGCGCCCCTTTCTAGATCGGGACTCCTTACACACGGTCACTCAAGCACTCGTCACTTCTCGCCTGGACTATTGTAATGCTCTCTACATGGGGCTCCCTTTGGGGTGCACCCAGAGGCTCCAACTGGTGCAAAATGCGGCCACGCGGGGGATTATGGGAGCGACGGGGCGCTCCCACGTGACACCTCTCCTGCGCAAGCTGCATTGGCTTCCAGTGGACTTCCGGGTGTGCTTCAAGGTGTTGGTGACCACCTTTAAAGCGCTCCATGGCTTAGGGCCAGGATACTTACGGGACCGCCTTCTGCCACCAATTCCCTCTCGCCAGCCAGTTCGCTCCCATAGAGAGGGCCTCCTCAGGGTGCCGTCAGCCAGACAATGTCGGCTGGCGACCCCCAGGGGGAGAGCCTTCTCTGTGGTGGCACCTACCCTCTGGAACGATCTACCTCCAGAGATTCGAGTGATCTCAGACCTCCGGACTTTTCGTCGGGCCCTAAAAACTTACTTTTTTCAGCTAGCCGGGCTGGCCTGACTCCATGTTGGTTTTAACATTTGATATTGATTTTAATTGATATGTTTTAAATTATGGGCCAAATTCTATTTAATTAGTTTTAAATAATTATTTTAACTTTTGTGTACAAATGTTTTTATTTTGGCTGTTCTCCGCCGTGAGTCCGAAAGGCGAAGGGCGGTATACAAATTTAATAAATAATAATAATATTAATATATCAATATTTTTATATAACTGTCAAAATATTGACCTAAAAATGCTTATAAGGTCCATGATAGCTTTGGTTCATATAATATGATCAGAAAACCCCATCACTTTGCTATTCCATGTTAGCATTAGCCAAGACTTTTGGTAAAATCATTTTTCACTTCAGATGAAATCTTTTGCCAAAATGCACATTTAAAGCACCACACCTCCATGTTTAGTTTCATTGTGTATTTGAACGTAAATCTATGAATCTATCTTTGTATATTTGAGCATGAATCAATATGAAGGCATAATGCCTCAGCTTCACTAAGATGAAAAGTATCCATTTTCTTCAATGTTTTACAGTTGGGTATCTGCCTAGTATGGATGAATTATATTCGGCTCATTCAGGAATGGGCAAAAACAAAACAGTGAAGCTTTTACAATCGTAGCAAGGTGATATGCTATTTATTGTTAGAGGTCATTTTTTTTTTTATTGAAAAAGTTTTAAAACAAACACAATTTCCCCACAACCCCCCCTCCCAACCCCCCTCCCCCTCCCCGACTTCCCAGAGCAGAACACAAGGTATTTCTATTGACCTTTAACAATAAACTAAATTGCATAACCAATCATTAAACTAACACCCCCTAAAAAAAAATTCTTAACCCCCCATATGTAAATTAGAAGTCATTTTTAAAATGTAGCCAGCCCATATTAGTCCACTGGTGGTATAAAAATTAACATATAATCACAAGAATGATAACTGCTTCATCTGACTCAAATCAACTCATTCTACAAGTGTTAAAGTAGGTTGCTTTAAATGAAGTTTGTGTGGAAATTCTAGAATTTTATTTTTCAGATGAGTCCCCGCTGTGCTAACTTGGCACTAAAACACTATTTGCTGAAACCAGTTCAGAGGATCCCTCAATACAGGCTTCTTTTAACAGGTAAGGCTAAACTTTACAAGCTAAACATATTTCTGTGGATGTATGTGTATCTGTATAATAAAGGGATAGCAGTATTTTATATAGGCCATTTGATTTCCACCCTAAATTAAATGTTTTAAAATATCACTTTGTTCTGTATTTTAATGAGTAAATTTTGCATGTGTAACAATTGGGTAACCAATAATAGAAAATTATGTAACAAAAGTGGAAATTTCCAGTGTATGGTCATTCTTTTGCATAAGCCATTTTTGATGTGTTTTTATTCTGTAAAATACTTACTGCTATTTCAATTCCTTCAGAACCAAATTATAGTGGCTGAACCATTCATGTCCCATTGATGAAGTTTTGAAGATGCTCAAGATTCTCCTGTCCACCTAGTAGATTACTTTGACGTCCACTGCTACATAATGGCTAACCATTTTTATACATGCAGTAAATCTTTCACTGGCTAATAGCTGTGTTTAGAATTAATAACTGTTTTAAAATTATTTAAACCAAAAGTTCCGAGCTGATGCTTTCAATAAGAAAATGAAGCAGAACTTCAACAGTAAACTGGATATTATTTTTGTATTCCACTGGAATGGAAAACAAAAATTTGGTGGTGGTGGTGGGGTATTTTGTTTTCAATATTTTGACTGCATCATAATGAATTATGGAAATGAGTTGAAACACTCTTTTGTGATCAATGAGAGGCAAAAAAAATGTATTTAATGAAATGAAACTTATGTTTTATTTTTACAGATTATAGAAATGTTGCCTTTGTTGCCAAAGGTGCAGAGAATGGTATTTTTGCTGAGTTAATGAGTTAATGTTGGTTCTGGTCTTGTTCATACTGTGGTTTTTGGAAAAGTTTGAAACGGCTAGGTGAAATATGAAAGAAAGTAACTTAGCAAGTTGTCTTTTTTGATTGACAAAAGTTCTTCCATCTTATTATTTAGTTGACTGTGCAGTCGAAATGATAATTCTGTTAATTAGTCTCTACTTAATCATTTACATATGAATAAATAAGTGATTTCTCCACTTCTTTGGATTTGTGTACCTGAATTACTAAATATGAAAGATACTTGTTCTAAGGAAATATTGCTGTTTCTATAAATCTCTGAAAATATACAAGCTACATGTGCAGATATACATATGTTTTTGCTTCCATTCATTGATACGAGTAACGTATCTTATTGTGGACAATGCATAATCCCTATGACTAGTTCCTAGATAAAAAGGAAAGCCTTTGTTTGCCTGGGACTTTAAAAAAGAACCATGAAACGCTTCCAGTTACTTTAGCTCCCTTGAGAGTGAAGTCAGTGAGACTTAATAGATTCAACTGGATGAATTATTGTGGCCTACATTCAGTAGCTCAGTAATCCCAGAACCATTGTTACATTCCTGAACTTTGCAGTTACTAATTCAATGAAAGAAATTAGAAAGATATATAGTTCCTGTAGCTGAAACTATTTACAAGAGAAAATGAGCCTTGGTACTTAAAAAAGAACTGTAGTATAGTAGAATAGCCTCTGATTAAGACAAAACAATCCATTTGATTTGGATCGTGAAATTGATACGTCTGGGTTTTTTAAAGAAATGACCATGATATTTGGAAAAGTTGCTACCAGGTTTTGTGCCATCATAGACTAATATAGCTCTGTTCCTATAATATAGAACCTCTGTGTTTTCCTTTTTGTTATATTTTTGAGAATTAATTGCAGGTAGTTAAAGAAGTAGTAGTGAACTTCTAAAGTAGGCCGGAGAAAGGGAGCTTGAACCCTGAAGATCCCAGTTCCCTTTCTCCATTCCAGCACAGTTATTCCCTTCTGCACACAGAGGAGAGGGGAATCAGAGAAAAGAAGCTTGGATCTGAACTTTCTTTCTCTGTCCCAGCACAGCAGCCCTATTTTGCAAGTGCAAGGAAGGGGAAGATTTGGGGTAGGCCAGGGAAATGAAGCTTGATCTTTGGGATCTTCCTTTCTCTGGTCCAATGCAGGAGTTCCCTTCCCACATGGAGGGGAACTATCTGCCCTTCTTTGGAAGACAGCCCTTTTACTCTGTCTGCTTAACAGTTTCTTGCATGGTTTCTTAACTAGGAGAGCTGGGATTGCAGTTGTTAGCAAAATGATTACATGGGCATCTCATTTAATGACAACAACTTAGGATAAAAATTCCAGACCCAATTTGGTTGTAAGTCAAGGACTACCTGTATAAACGTTAAGCATTTAAGTATACTATGTCATTGTATTGAAATAACATATTTTAAAAAGATTCTTACTAACATAATAAAAGGGGGGTGGATCTGTTTTAAAAAAGGACCCAGGTAGAAGGGTCACTCTGCGTACTGTGGGAAAGGGTCCTTATTTGTCTCTCCAGTGCTCCTATTTAATAATAAAAATATATCATTAGGTGGTTTTTCACTTCATCAAACACCATCCTCTGCACCTTCATAGCAAATTGTTTGTATATAAACACTAGAGAAAGTCAAACCGAAAACATAGCTTCACAATGTACCATTTACATATTGTATAATTGTTCGACTGCATCAGCTTATATTAACCCCTCTTCCTTTATGTGTCCTCCAGCTGAAGAAAAACATAATGACTTGTTCTCGTTTGCATGTGCTACTTTCTAATGTAGTGGTAGAAATGGTAGAATTTTAAGTCAGTCAAGATGTGATACAACTTTGGGTTGTATTATTGCAACTATAACAATTAAGATGGTTTTAGGTTTATAGCATGTCGGCTAATTATGCATTAAATTAGCAAATTTCCATTCTAATCTCTGACAAAAAGGTTATGTTATGTTACAAGTTTCACCTAGTATATACTTCGGAAGCAATTGTACAATTTTATATATTTCAGGGCTCCTTGTTCTATAGAAAAGGACAGCTGGTTCTAGAACAGTTCTGGCTCAGATTAATTTCTGATAGAAAAGTTCCAGTAGAACTACTTTAATAGAGGAGCAAAATGTTCCTCCGGGTCTTTTCTGACTCAAAAGGATCATTTATTTCCCTTCCTTCCGTTTACTCATATCCTTCTGCTCTTCCTCTTCTTTCTGTGGACTATTATTACTTACAACATCCTCTTTTTGATACTACTTTTTTGCCAGAATAGCACTGTTGTGTATTCCTTAACTTTTGCATTAATTAGAAGTTCAAATACTTGAAATAAATATTCCAAAAATGCTGTGTTTCTGTAGAAATAAAAAGGTGGCTTTTCCTCCTAACATCTTTGTCATATTAAACTTGAAAGTAAAAAAAAATCTTTATGTGGAAAAAAGAATTATGTTACGGTGGATTCAGAAGATGGATTATATTATACTGTGAATTTTAAGGAAATCTCAGGGAAATAATAAATAGTTTTGTGTGAGAGATCTGCATAGATATTAAGGCAGAAAAGGGGAAAGGAAGTTTGGGCGTAAATCTATTAAATAAAAAATGTATCAGTTCCACTTCTTTATCAGAGTCTCCTTGGGAGTCTTACCATTTAGATAAGACATTGCCATTTTAAGCCTTTAGCTCAATTCTCAATTGTTTTGATTTTGTTTTAGCAAGAATCTGATTTGCTGGAATTATTTTGTAGTCAGCTCAGCCACCTAGTGGCCGAGAGCAAAACTGTTAGTAAGACCACAGTCCAATTTATTAATGGAAAAGTGTCACTCAACACGGTGGTAAAAGTGCGCTGTTAGAATTTTCAATAATTTCTTTCTCCCTTGATACTAAAAGCTGCTGATTCCCTCATAGCAAAGAGAGAAATGTTCGTTGTATACAACATGCCAGTATTTTGTATCTCAATTTGTCAGAACCCTTCAATACTTAAAAATCCTTAATATTGTCTGGTTTAGCTTGTACAAAACTTTCACTTCATATTTCAGGTCACTAATTTTTATTGATCCCATAGCTGTTTTTGATAATAACATCATTCTGTTCCCCTTGCAGATTATCTAAAGAACCTTTTAGAAGATTCAGCTGACTTCAAAGATACTCAGGGTAATTATTTTGTTGGCTATTAGTTATTGAAATAAAAATCTTTGAAATTTATACAAAATGTTCTACAGGTGGCATCTTCCACCAGCGAGATTGACAAAAATGTTTATCACCAAAATGTTGGAAATTCAATCACAAATCAGGCATGTGCTACCATATGTGGTGGTCATGTAAAAAAGCAAAGGAGTATTGGTGGAAAATTCATTCATGGCTGACAGAAGTAATTGGAGAAGAAATAGAATATAAACCAGAACTATTCCTATTGGGAATTATAAATAGGAAATATAGTAAAGGGGTAATTTACTTAATAATACATATTATAACAGCAGCAAGAATGATTTTTGTCCAAAATTGGAAAAATAAGTAAATTCCCGTAGAAGATGAAGTGATCAAAAAAATTTCGACATGTGTGGAAATGGACAAATTAACATTGGAATTGAAAAATAAAGGTGAGTCAGATTATTATAAGATATGGAACAAATTTTATCAATGGTTGTAATGGAAAGGAAGGATGAAAAATATGGACTAGAACTTATAGAATGGAGAACTAAAGTTATGTATGTAATTACAATAGAATGAAAGAGGATAAGACAAATGTATAAGTAATATAGATAGAAAAATGATGTCTTTATGTAAATACTGAATAGACCAATTGTATATAAGTAGCAAGGTATATATGATACTTATTGTTTATTTTAGTATGTATGGCAAAGATAATGACAGGACGGTTACATTGTGTCCAGTGTTTTAATATGTGTTTAATAAAAAAAATTCAAAAAAAAAAAGAAATAAAAATCTTTGCAGAATCAAGGAATGTAAAATCTTCTGAGATCAGGAATGGGTTTATCAGTATAGCTCACTGCAGAGTTTCCAAAAACAAACAAGCTTTGCTCTTAGTTGAAAAAGGTGTTCTGCTAATTGCCTAGAAATCAATCTTAAATGAGTCCTAAAGCTACATAAAGGTTACCATTCTGGGTGGTTTAATTGTAGTCAAGCAGTTGAGAAGTTTTATGTACCCCTTTGGGCAACTGAAGTGAGAGTTCTCACTTCTCCTTTAACATGATGCCATCATTGATTGTGATATGACATTGAGGGGAGAAGAGATAACTTTTTGGGTTGTGCACAGTTCAAAAAGGATTCTGAGGAAATGCCTTAGACTTCACTTAAGAACAGGTTCTCTCTACTATTTTTCAAGGAGTTTGACCTTCTAGATTTTCATGTTTGAAAATGGCTGGGCTCCCATAATAAATAGCAGAGAAATGCTATGCTCAATATGGGGTCTGTCCAGCTTGGTATCCTCCCAGATGTGTTAATTTTTAAGTCCTGTAATTCCAAGTAGCCATCCATAATAATAGATATTTAAATCCAACGTATGCCCAGCTTGTGTAAGGAGTTTAAATGATTTAAATAAATTCTGGAAGAGAACACCTAAGTGTTTCTGCAAGTGTTTGAACTTAAGTATACAGCTGGTTTTATACTGATTGTAACTGCAGCTACTTAGAGAAATTCATAGTTCTCCATGGCAAGCTGAAAACATTTGCTGAAATATATTTATTAAACATTTCATTTTATTCCCTCTAAAATTATACTGTCCAATGCTAAGATTTTTGGTAGATATAGAATACTATATAAAATAGCATGAGGCAATCCAGTAATCTCATTTAATACAATTAAACTCCAGATTACAGTGAAAGAACAAACTGCCTCCTAGCACTACTAAAGCAAAGAAAGCCTATTTTAAGAGGACGGCCAAGTGCACCCTTGGGTGCAGAGTGCTGCCTTGTATAGGGCAACCCACCGAGAAGCCCCTTTTCTGATCTGTTTCCCGTTTACCGCATGGCTGGATGAAATTTTGAGCAGGTACGCTCTGGAGGTCCTACACGATGGGCAGGCTGTAGCTGTATCAGGCACTGCCATATGCATTCAAATTTAAAACCCAGTATTTTAATTGGGCCTAGAAGTTAATTGGCAATGGGTGCAGCAACTCTAAATGGGTGATATTCTGCCAAATCTGGTTTCCCTTGCTAGCAGTTTGGTCACTGATTTTGTACCATTTGTAATCTCTGAATCCTCTTCATAGACAGCCACAGATAGACCATACTGCAGTAATCAAGTTCATGAGCTGCCATCATTAAGATTTTCTTGATAAGTTGGAAGTCCTTAATAAGCTTATTGTGGTTTGATTTCTTTTAAAGTGTCTTATGAATAAGGACACCAATTTTCTGTAAGGTGATTTCTTCCAGTTAGAACAATCTATTTCTGATATGTTTCAAGCAGTGCCCATATAGGAGAATTAGAATGTAAGTATTGAATACATAATAAAGCAATATAGAATATATAAGAATAATTCTTTGTTCTTTTTAAGATGCTCTTGCTGTTGTTATAGAAGTGGCCAATCATGCAAATGACATTATGAAACAGGGGGTAAGTGGTGTTCCAGTTGTAAAAGCTTAATGTTTTAAAATACCGGTAGCAGACACCATTTTTTGCTATAATAAATTTGAATTATTGCTTTGTCAGAAAGCTGAAAGGTGCACAAATAGAATGTCATTATATTTTTACATGCTGTTGATAATTCGTTTCTACTGAAACATATTTAAGCATTGCTATTTATTTATTAAATTTGTTTGCCGCCTATCTCACTGCAAGGCAGCTCTAAGCAGCTTACAATATTAAAATGAAACCATAAACATATATGAATGTTTAAATTATTATTTTTGAAATTAAAATTCTTAAATATGCTATGGTTGTTGTATTGTATTTTTAATACATATAGCCACAAGAATTATTTAAAAAGATAGAATATATTTTGTAATTATTAAATATATATAAGGCAAATATATTTGTGTGTGTGTATGTTTGTACAGTATGTATCATTTTTTACAAATATATAATCTCCAGTTGTAAAAGGGAATGGTAAGGTTGAGATTGAGAGGATGTTATGGCCATATTGGCTGATTGCATGTGAATGATTTCTGATATTTATTTATATCATGAGTTATTTTGGATTATTATTAAATGCTCAACTCTCAACAACTTTGGATAGTTCATAAACAAAAGAATATAGTAGTGAACAAAAATAAAACAATAAAAGATGTTAAAAACTAGACAGTAACATTTACTACTTTCACCTTCCAGGATAATTTTCAGAAACTTATGCAAATACAATACAGCTTGACTGGTCATCATGAGATTGTGCAGCCTGGGAGGGTAAGTTCATTTAGATATCACAGGAAAACTGTAGATTGAAGTCCTTCCTTTCATTCCCTTTGCAGATTAACAGTTCTGAAAGGAAAAAAAATAATTCATATCTAGCTGGGATATTAACTTTTATTCCTTTTGAAAAGCAAGAAAGTTACTGCCATTACAAGAGACACCATAAAGCAAAGTATGATGTCAAAAGCACAGCCCACTGTTTCATGATGCTTGTTGTGCTCCATGGAGGTCTACATAGACTGATCCAGCCTTGTCTTACTCTTTCTAGCATCTAGTTTTAAATGTAGTCCGTGGATTATAAATTAGCTTCTCTATTCCTGTCCTCCAAGGCAAAAATTGCTATCCTATCCCATAAACGTTAAACTATTTTTGGGATCTGTCTTCTATGGCCTTCTTTACTTGTTAGAAGAGTCATACACATACTCTCAATAACCCGGCTCCGAGATGTAACTGCTGAGAGAGACTGAAGCTGGATCAAGGAGAAAAGCGGTATTTTTTCACCAGAAAATGCAATAGCATCTCCTACAGAAACATTCTGTGTTACACAAAGGAGCCTGAAGGAACTCTGGAATCCTCAAGGTCTGATCTTGCAGAAAAGCGGTCATAGGACTGCCCCCTCCCATCAGGGAATATACCCTTTGGCTATTTATACTGTTTCTGTAATAGACACCTATTGTTTTAGAGTAAATTATTCACAAAAGTCAATATTTAAAAAAAAAAAACCATGAAAAAAGCTTCAGGATTGTTTTTTCTGAGCTTGAAAAAAGCAACACACAATGTTCTACCCAGCTGCAAACACTGGCTTTTTTCTGGCCAAGAAGAACCAATCGCTGCATGGAAAGTAAGGCTTGTTACTTTTTGGGTAAGAAGCAACTTTACTTTCTTGCTGCAGAGGTAGGTCAAAAGGAAAGTATATTCACAAGGGCTTATCAAAGAGTCTGGAGTTTAGTACTTTACTACTAGATAGGAGATTTATATGATCTTGGCTGATTTTCTGTGTATATTTGTTGACTAGGTTTTTTTGAAAGAAGGAACATTGATGAAACTGTCCCGGAAAGTAATGCAGCCAAGAATGTTTTTTTTGGTAAGATGCACACCCTAATGCTAAAGTAATTTTTAATGGAGAACTAAATACCAACAGCTAGCAATTTCAGCTAATGGTTTTGAATAATTTACATTGCAATTTTGTGCTACTGTTTTTCTTTTATTGTGGCTTCATTAATATTCCATAAGTGAATTGCGGTAACCATTCCTCCATAGTTGGTGGTCTTCATAGTCTTTTTGTTCTTGAGAAAGATTCCCCTCAAAGTTCAAACAAGCAACTCACTTCTTGTAATGTAAAAATTACTTTTCATCTATAACATATTGGAATTGTACTTGGTATATGACTAAATGCAATTCAAATATCTATTTCATAATCACATAATTCTTTTAACAATATGTTAAATATCTGACTTAAGATGCAGTCTCCAACTTAAGATGCAAAAAAAACACCATATGTAATGAATGCAGAAAGCTGGAGTATGTTTCAACAATGACCTGATTAGGTTCATACATTTCACTAAGCCATAAATCATTGTTTACCAACAATACTGACTGAATGAATGTGCTGACATAGCTGACTTAGCTGAAACCAAACAAAATGAAATCATAGCCTGTTGTGATTTATGAACCAATCACTGAATCATATTGATCTGCAGAAAAAGTAAGATTCTAGTTACAATACAACAAATTCCATATAATAACAATTCCAACTTAAAGACCAGCAAGTAATGTAGGATTTCATAGAACTTTTATATGGCACAGAATAGAAGGATCATCTAAGTGACCTGCTTTCTGTTCTGCTGCTGTTATGTACAAAAAAAGGCTTAAGACTAATTTAACCAAAGTCCATTCGCATTGGACTGTCCATGATAGTTTCCGACAATGCTATTTGCAATGATGCTAAAAGATCTGTCCTTTTAATGTACACATATGTGGGTAATGTAAATGTTTGCCTGACTTCAAGAGTCTCTTTCCCTGGTTCTGTCTGCCTTTCATCCTCTTTTTTGCCACTTAAAAGTTTTTGATCTTTGCTATTTCTTTTATAAATAAACATCAACTGGATTTTTCCAGCTGCTTTGTGTATTCTGTCTGCTTGCTCAGATCTGGAAATAGGAATTGACTGGAGTGTGTTGGCTGCAAACTAAACTGGAATTGATCAATAGGAGGAATATAATTGAGGTGTATGGAAGGCAGCATGGCATGGAAAAAGTAAACAGAGGGAAGATTTTCGTTCTCTCAAGACACTAGGATATGCTTCATCCAGTGAACCTAATTAGAAGATTTAAGACAGACAGAAGAAATAATGTCTTCGCACAACATATAATTCACTTGGGCAATTCATTCCCATAAGAAGTACGGGTGACTGCTAGCTTGGATAGCTTTAAAAGAGCAATTAGATACATTTATAGGTGTACGTCTATTAGTTTTGAGGCTGAGTGTGATCTTAGTATTTTGGGGCAAAATACCTCCCCAGTTGCAGGGGAAAAATAGCAGTGGAGGGGATGTTTGTTAATTAAAAATATGTTGCAAGATTTCCATTGTTTCATACAAAGCAAATAATTTAGGTGTATTTTGCAAATTAAAAAAGGCTATTTTTAAGGATTAGCTATTTCCACTGCTTTCTCCAATATATTGCTGTAAAAAATCCAGAAGATGTCTTTAAGGTACAAATATATTTGGAGCAACTGAAACAAATGCCTTCCCTAGTTCACTGTGGTATAAGAAGGACGGGAGGTAACACATATTTTGGATTTCCAAGATTCTGTTGTTATAACCAATTTCAATAAAGTATATAATTCTAGTTTTTCTGTGGAGTATTATTTCCTGTTCGGGTCTATCCTAAAGGATTAACAATTAATATTAATGTTTTCATTTTTAGCAGTGCAATTTTATCAATTTTTGCATTCTTCATAAATATAGAAATTACTGAAATCTGAATTTTACTCTTGAAAAATGGGTAGGAAAAGCCCTAAGGAAGAAGACAAATCTCATGTCTATTCACAACGTTCTGCTATATGCCCATTAAGATGGGGATGAGGTAGACCTTCTACATCAGACTTGTAAAGTTGTAAATTGATATGTAAGTGTATCAGCTACATTAAAAAAATAATTTACTTTGCAGTTTAATGACACCCTGTTGTATACAACTCCTCTGCAGTCTGGAATGTATAAACTCAACAACATGCTCTCGCTGGCTGGAATGAAAGTGAGTTATTATTATTTTGTACAGTAGCTTGCCTTATAAAACATAGTTTGAACTTGTGCACCAAAATTAATAGTCTGAAATTGCTATTTGAGAAATCTATTGCTCCGAACATTCTGCCAAACGTAGGTAACTATTAGCGGTCTCATTTTCAGAAAAGCTGAATAAAAAGTGATAAAAAAGCAGTGTAGGGAAACAGCAGAGATGGCAAGTTCTTTCCACAGCTTGTCAGATTTTCTTGTTGTATGTTAGACTGTTCCCAGTTCTGTCATTTGAGCCCCAGTTCACTTTATGCAGCCTTAGCAGGTCTCACTAACAAATAAGCACCATTCTCCAGCTTATTTCAGTAGAACTCATCTGCTGGCTGTTCTACAGATAGGCATGCCCTATGACTGACCTTATCTATGGTTTATTGGCTTATTCCTTTCAGTTTTTTTTTAAAGTCAGTTCTAGTTCACTGGTTTATTTCCATGGCATCTTAGGCTTGACCATTTGCAAATCTTGCCAGCAGACACAATCAGAAGAGAGGCACAAATTAGTGAACCATAGCATGGCTAGTCCTGCCATGCATTGTGGCTGGAGTAGTATGTCATTCTCTTATTTGTTTGATTTTTCAGAACGACAAGTGATAGAACATTTCTCTTTTTATACTTTCTACTACTTGCCAGGTTAAGAAGCCAACCCATGAAGCTTATCAAAACGAATTGAACATAGAAAGTGTAGAACGATCCTTCATCCTCTCAGCAAAGTAAGTGTTGCAAAAAAAAAAAAAAGCCTCATAAAGTCAAAGGAAACTCTACTTAGTGACGTTTCCTGAAAGACGTTGCTTAACTGGTGTGCGTATTTAATTCCAACAGTTCTGCTACAGAGAGAGATGAATGGTTAGAAACTATCTCTCAGTCAATTGAAGACTACACCAAAAAAAGAATCACGTTTAATCCTACTAAAAGTCTGGAAGAGGTAGGTTTTCTTTCTAGAAGGGATATATTTTTTATGTGAAATTATAAACAGTCAAACCATGTCATGCTCAACACTCAAGAGACCTTATAATTCTTTCTGTACATTGGGACCCAAGAGAAGGCTGAGCAATCTGTTGTTAGGTGGGTATATTCTAACTTTGCATTTCCTGTCCTGGACAGGAAAATAGTCTATACAGCCTAAAAATCTTTGCCCAACTCTGACTGTATGAGATATGAGAAGAGAGCCTTCTTTACCTTGCTGAGAATGTTTATCCTTCAAATAAAAATTTAATTTTCCCTTCTAATATACATTGAAATCTAAGAAATTGTGCTGATATTGATAATGAGCCTGTAATATGTACTTTTCTACATAAAAAATAGAAAAATAAAAATCCTGTAAATATATTTTTCTGCATACAATGTTTCTCAATCTTCCTTAGGCAGACCAAGAAAAAGAAGAAGAAAGACCGGTAGGATCCAAAGCTCCAATCTGGATTCCTGATACCAGAGCTACCATGTGTATGATTTGTACCAGTGAATTCACTCTGACATGGAGAAGACACCACTGCAGAGCTTGTGGGAAGGTTGTAAAAAATTGATATTGTTAGCTTTAAAAAAAGAAGGAAAAAATGGAGACAAATGCATTTGAAAAAGATCTATGCGCATTTATTACCTGTTTCTTTTTTCAGATAATCTGCCAAGCTTGCTCATCAAATAAACATGGATTAGACTACATGAAAAATCACCCTGCAAGAGTTTGTGATCATTGCTTTAAAGAGCTGCAAAAACAGGGTAAAATTAAACGTTTGACTGTTTTTCACTTTTGCTCATATATTTACTTTAGATATTTTTCAGGGATTAGAATTTTTAGGATTACAATAATAATCTTTCATTTAAAATGGTATTTCAAGAGTTAAATACAAAAAAATCCTAAATATAAAACCTATGCATTATTTAACAACATTTTTAGTTTATAGTATTGTGGTTCTTCAAGCATGAAAATATATTTCTTGATTAAACCAATCTTGTTTATTCTTTTAAATTATTTGCAGTCAGCCATTTTGAGTTACAATGCCTGCTACTTTGAAAAAGAACTTGCATCTGTCTGAAATGAAAATTGTTACCTGCAAGTCTTTGATCACCAATATTCCACCTATGATCAAAACTAATGAGAAAGCAAAACGTTCAGAATAGCTGTACAATCACTTGAACATTAAGACATTTTAAAAAGCTACAAGCTGTTTTTGAAATATTGTATACAAATATAATCAGAGATGGATGTATAGCTTATAAAATTAATAAATGATAAACTAAAAACTTACTCCTTTAGTTCTCTGAATCAGAAATAACTGTAACTGTTACTTTGATTTCAGATAATATGTACACTTCTAAAAATGGATCTCCACTAAATCACCGATCGCCAACTAATGCTTTGTCTACAGTATTGCACAGTATTCCATCTGGCAGGAAGCAGAAAAAAATTCCAGCTGCACTGAAGGAAGTATGTCAGATCTTCTCAGCACTATTTTTTTTTTTTTTTGTATTTAGTAATAAAGACCTGTTGCTTAATTAGGACCAACATTGTACTGACATCTAACTGTTGCTCTTTTCAAAGATAGTACCTGTAGAATAAAAATGCTTATTTTTATTCTGTTCTTACTTCTTCCTGATTCTCCTCTCTCTCCCTCAATATTCTTTCTGGAGACTGCAGGCAAGATTACCTGCCTTATTCTCAGCTAGTGAAAGTGGAACAAGACTAGATCTATATCATGAAACACCATTATCTGTCTTAATTTGAAGTGTTGATAAGCAACAATGGTAGACTGGCAGCTTTGAAGCGGCAGCCTTAAAGGTTTTATACAATGTACTAAAAGTTTTATACACTGCACTAAACATTTTGTATCTGGTGTTTGTTACAAAACTGAGAATCATAATTGGACAACATTAGACCCAGTTAAAATGTGGGTAAAGTATGTAAGCTTTAGATCACTCTTATTCCCATCTAATTCAGAGTTCTACCAAGATAAAGGTCTGAAACCGATTTGTCAATTTGTCAATTTTTCAGAAGTCTTCTGTCTTTGCCTCTTTAGGGTTGAGAGGGAGTGGTAATAGTAGTAGTTTATTGATTTATTAGTCTTATGACCTTAACAAATCAAATCAAATATAGTACCGGTACATAGTCCAAATTTGCAATAAGATAGGAAGAAATAAAGTGATAAAATATATGTGTTAATAATACAAAGATACAGTAATTAAATAAATAAATCTCCCTTACAAAATACAGTGGTTCATAAAACCACTCCCTTAGTTATAAACTTAGCAGTTCTATGTACATTTGGCCTAGAAGGAAATATAACAATTTGTGTTAGGATCCCAGTGGGCTATTCTTTCCAAAAGAGATGATAGGTATTTAAGACTAATTGGGGCATATAATTGACAGTCAAACAAAATATGAGAAATATTTTCAATGGCATGTTCTCTAAAGGCAAGTGGAGGAAACGCCCATATTTGGCCATGGAGACCAATAACTCAAATCTTGCTCTAGAATAGATCCTTCTTAAAGATTGTGTCAGATTCAATGACAGATATTTCTCAGGTTTAATATATATATATATATATTTTCTTGTTAGCCAACATGTTATTGTTAGCCAATTCTGGGATCTATTTTTAACCTTTTAATTTCATGCTGATTTGAGTGCTAAAATCCAGGACTATCTCTTTAAAAATTTCCTCTGCCTGGAAGGTCATTAAGAGTAGATGCTGGGTAGAAAAGCCATGTTGTGAAATAACTTTGGAAAATTGGTTGACCCAGGAATTGGACTGGGCCATACTTATCTGTTCTGTTAGGCATATTTTGGAATGTCTGTCAGGGTTCATTGAATGGATCCTCTGCCAGTATATGAATATTTTAGTTATTAAGTGACTGTGCAAGGAATGCGTACCAGACCACAGGGGAAGATGTGTTCTTATCCATTCCCAGTATGCATCTTAAAAAACAGGTCTGAATTTGTTCAATTTGGCGTAGCTATATTAAGGCCCCACAATTCTGGGCATAGGTCAGCATTGGACTATTTTTGCCTTGAATACTTTCAGCCTAAAGATCAAGATACCCAAGTAGTTGTAGTTAAATTTGCATAGTCTTTAAATACTTATCTCTGCCCTTGCTGAGTTTCTTTTAAAATGATTTAACCATGACCCAGTTCTGGTAAAAACCATCCCTAAATAGATTAAAAAATGCATTTGTTTGATAGGCTCTCCATATAGTTCCCATATATATTTCACACTTGTTCTGCTAAATACTTTAGATATGATTTTATTGATTTTATTGATTTTAAAGAATTAAGGGCACAGTAGGTATTTAGTTTTTGCAGCAGTCTTCTCAGGCCTATTTGGAAATGTACTATTAGAACCACATTATCAACATATAAGAGAATAAAATTATCATTGGTCTTTGGCATATGAGTATCTGCAGCATACAGGAATCCCAGTAAATAATTAACACAGAAATTAAAAAGCATTGGCGCTAGAATACAATCCTGTCTTGACATCATTTTGGGTGGGTATACTGTTTATTAGAGAACTATTTACACCTATACAGACTTTCAAATAGTTTTCTGAGTAGGGGAATTTAACCAAGAATAAAAAAGTCTGGGTTCCATATTTAAGCCAGCCAATTTCATTCCTAGAATGTTTCTGTTTGTAGAATCAAAAGCCATACTAAGATTCATAAATATGGTAAACAGTTTATTGCCATTTGTTAATTGTTATGAGATGGTGTAAGATCAAATAATTATCTATTGTGGAGCACTCTGGTCTGAATTCAGCTCATTCCTCCATTAAGAGATTTATTTCCATTATCCCATTTTCTGTTTTGCTTAACAGATGTTTCACATACATTTTAGCCAATAAGGCTTATCGGTCTGTAGGGTTTTGGGTCACTTTTGTCTCCCTTTTTATATAGGGGGAGTATAATGGCAACTTCCTATCTGACTGGAATTCAACTATATTATTTATGTGGGTGAACCCCCTGCTGGGGCCCACCAATCAATATGAATCTTCAAAAGTTCTGGGAGTAGAAAACCTTCTACAGGTGCCTTATTAGATTTTAGCGATCAAGTTGTAAATTTTATTTCTGATACACTAGAGGCCAGAGAGGAAGGTTTTCAAAGGCTACAGTATCAGTAATTTGTTTGGGAGACCATGGTTAGAATTTGAAAAAAGATTTGCAAAAAAAACCAAAATCCTCCCAAATTGAAGCTGGAATGTCAAATTGCAATTTACCTGATATAGCATTCAATAAACTTCAATAAACCTAATATAGCATTCCAGAAGAAAATTGTCCCTTTTGTTGAAATTTCCAGATCTCACCATATTTTAACTTTAAAGGAGACTTTTAAAAAAATATTAGCAATTTCTTGTGGTCATGCTAAGCTTTAGCATTTTAGCAGGGGGTTCTTTTGGTAAGATGTCCCAGGCCTGACACATTGCTGCCCTCAATAGCTTTTTGCTACATAAACAGAATCAAACCAATTTGAACTTACTATATTTGCTGACAGTTTCTAATAGGAAGTTGACTATTAAAAAATTTCTCAGTGTATGACACAGATCTGCAAATCTGAATCTTGGGTAGAGGAGAAAATGGAGTTTCTCCAAGGCTGAGTCTGTTCTGAATTCAGAAAGCTAGATAATGCCTTGATGTCAACCTTGATCCAATTAAGCTTTCTTTTCTGCTTCACTTCAAGATTAACTAATAACCTCTTATCATGGGGCTTGTATAAGCTAGTATCAGATCTGCTATAGAGATGGATTGTGATTGGTTGATGATCACTACCCTCCCTCACATGGACTTGGAGCTGAGAGTGAGTGACTGGCCCAACGTGCTTTGTGCCTGAGGCAGGACTAGAACTCATGGTGTCTCAGTTTCTAGCCTGAAGCCATTAATCACTCCACCAGACTGGCTCCCTCTGAGTATTTACTGAACACAAATTATTTATATAGTTTCAGTATATTTATATTCTATCCTGCTATCGGAAACCTTTTAGCATCTGCTATAATTCTTTTGCTTTAATTTTTAATTTATATTGGGAGGAATGCTATGCAATGTTATGTGAAATACAAAATACCACTTAGAGAATGTTGAGATTTGAGTTTTGCCTGTGTGCAACTTTTCTTTGGGATTCTTAATATGAGTTACGGTAATTTTTCATTAAAATATACCTTTATAGAAAAGTAAATGCTAGTAATTTTTTTTTAATTTTAATAGGAATTGTATCAGGGGTGAAATGCTCCCGGTTTGGACCTGCTTGGGCGAGTAGGTAGCAATGGCGGCGGGCAGTTCAGAGAACCGGTAGCAAAAATCCCTGCCCCCGCCCCCCATGCCCAGCTGAGCCCCATGATCATCAGAGCCTTTTTTTCCTTTTAAATGGCTCTGACCAGCCAAGCTCTGACATCCCAGCTAAGTTGCCTGCTAATCAGGTAACTCAGCTTGGATTGCCAGAGCCATGTAAAAGAAAAAAAGTCCCCCCCCCAGCCTCCAGCTTGCTTACCTTAGCTGCTGATCGCATGACGATCGCAATCCATGCATCAGCAAGCAACTGAATCTCCCTGCCTGCAATCAAGCTCATCGGTGAGCAGCTCTTTCTGCCTGCCTGCCTTCCTGCCTAGACTTGTGGACTTCCACTCCCAGCAAAGCTGGCTGAGGAATTCTGGGAGTTGAAGTCCACAAGTCTTAAAGTTGCCAAGGTTGGAGACCCCTGTTATATTGGGTAAGTTTTTTTCCCCTTTGGGAGCTTTAAAAAAAATAGTTAATTGGGGTTTTTTTTAGTTGTTCTTTTTTTAGACTTAGCCATTTAAAGTTTAGGAAGTTTTAAATTTAGCTGCTTTTATATAAAAATTAAAATAAAATAAAATAATATTTGTGCAGCTTTCTGAGATTTAGTGTGTTTCTGTAGTGTTTCACTCTAACTACACAAACACACAAAATCTCAAAAAGCTGTATGTGGAATTTTGTGTGTGTAAAGTGTGAAAGTTGGTTTTTTGGGCTTTTTGTGGCTGTGTGAGGTTTCTGCTTGTTGCAGGGGCCATTTTGGGTCTAGCACAGCTGCTTTTACATTGTGGGTGAGCCAGTTGTGTTGTGTTGTGTTTTGTAGGTTAAAAAAGGGCAAAGAAGTGACATTGACTTGGCCCACCCAGTCACCTTACCACCAAGCCCCGCCCACTAATTAAGCCATGCCCACAGAACTGATAGCAAAAAAATTTAGATTTCACCCCTGAATTGTATGTATTCTGTGCTGAAAAAATCTGATGCTTTTATCCACCATCAGATCAAGCTGAATTGCATTTAACAATAGCATCAAAATAATGAATTATAATGTGCTTCATTTGTAGAGACTTAAAATTTCATATTGGCTATGGAGGTGAAAGATTATAGCTCAACACTTCCAGAAGGCACCAACAAGCATTATATGCAGTCTATATATGTATAATTGAAAATAAAAATGTTGTTCAAAAAAGGATCTTAAAAACGACAAATTGCCCACAGGGTATTCTCAGATGCAGAAGGAATGATAGCAAAATGTCCTTTACAGCACATTCCTTTTTACCCAGGAATAAGTCCCATTGTGTGGAATGGGTTTGATCCTAGGTGAATATAGAAGTGCAGCATCAGACTCAACTATAGAGAAAAATATTGCCTTACTTGTGAGGAAAAACAGTAATGAGAAAAAGACTAACCAGAAAGTGCGGTATAGTAAATCAAGTAACACAATCCCTGGTATGTCTAGAGGGTAGAAAATATCTTTTCTGAAATTCTCAGAAGAGTGTTGTTCAGTTTAATTCCTCTAGGTTTCTGAGATTCTGATTTGGAGAGAATGGAATACAGAGTAGAAGCTAAAATATGTATCTGATTGATCTGTTTCTGGGGTGTCAAACTTGATTTCATTGAGGGCCGCATCAGGGTTGTGTTTGACCTTGGGGGGCTGGGGTGGGCGTGGCTAGGGTGGGTGTGGCCAGCTCAACGTCACTTGTATCAGGGGCGCCTGTGGTAGCCCAAGCGCTCTGCCAGTGAAAACGAGCTCCCGAGCTGTTTTGGCTGTGACGGCCTCCTGCAACCCTCCGCCAGCGAAAAGGGAGCTGGATGTGCCACCCATGGACCTTGTGAGCTCCATTTTCGGCTGTGATGGCCTCCTGCAACCCTCTGCCAGCAACCCTTGAGCTTGATAGGGGCGCACACAGCCTTCTCGAGCTCCGTTTTCGCTGGCAGAGGCCCTGCAGGCCAGTCCTTCGCTGTTTCCAGGGCAGCCTCGCAGGCCAGATCTAAGCACCCCGTGGGCCAGTTCCTAGGCCTTGAGTTTGACATCCCTGATCTATTTAATCAGATTTTAATATAAGACCTAATTGTAATTGTTTTTGTTCATTTGTTCATTCATTCTAAAGGCCCTTGGGAATATAATATGAAATAAGAGTCCAAGAAATAAGCAAACAAAACTCTTAAAAGACTTTTCATAGCTTTGTCATAGTATATTTGAATCAAACATTATTTTCTATATTGCATTTGTAAAATATTTTGTTTATTTTAAAAATAGTTCTCTACTTCAGCGGTCCAATATTTCCAGCTTGGTGGGCCAGCGGGGATGGGGGATGGTTCCATGTGAGCTGCAGGCGTGAGCTCTCCACTCACACAAATGAAGCTTCATGTGTGAATGCCCGCTCCTCGTGCAAGTGGAGCTGCACGTATGCACACACAAACACCACTTGTGCAGCTCGGTTCCAAAGGGGCCGCAGCCCAGTAATGGCTTGGGGGTTGGGGACCCCTTCTCTACTTCACTGAAGGAGGGCTAATTAGCAGGAGAGAAAGACTGATTCCTAGGTTTTTTGGAAATGCTGAAAGTGTCATAGAGCATAAAAGTTGCTGAAAACCCAGTTTACTAACAGAACTTGAGCATTTGGACAGTAAATTAACAAAAATGTAGAATATAAATATAGCAAGCAGTTATGCTTAACTGAAACTATTTATTTTCAGCATGATTATAATGAAGTTAATGATCAGTACACTAGGGAGAGGAGCAGTTATATGACACTCTCTTGTAATTAAACTACATACTTGCGTTCATTATAGGTATCAGCTAATACAGAAGATTCTTCAATAAGTGGCTACTTGTACAGATCAAAGGGCGCTAAGAAACCATGGAAACACCTGTGGTTTGTGATAAAAAATAAAGTGCTATACACATATGCTGCTAGTGAGGTAAGAAAGGAAAAACAGAGAAAATACTTCATATAGGCAGAATGTTGGAATTGTACTACTATGTATTCTGTTTACAGATAGTTCTTGATTTATGACATCAATTGACACTGGAATCCTCAGTAGTTGACCACAATCTCAGCACTCCTGGTTGTGGTATTAAGTGATCATGCTGTCAAGCTATCATTTCTGGATGAACTGTTTTCATCCAGCCACCAGAAACTAGAGGGAGTCATCTCAGCAGGTGACAGTAGCTTGGGACCTTCCCTGCTGGTTTCCTGGGAAAATTAGTAGGCAAGATTGCAAATGGTGAACAGATGAATGGAAAACACTAGGTAATCTGTTATAAATGTGAACAGATTGCAAATCATAACCACTTGACTGCAGGGATCCTGCAGTGCCATACCTTCAGGCAAGGCTCATAAGTCCTTTCAATCAGCACTGACATAATTTTAATCGGTCATTAAGTGAAGGGCACCTGAACTGAATGTGGAGAGTATCTTTAAACAAATCACTGGAAGAAAATAACCTAGTATGTAAAATGATTCACACGAAATAATGAACAGTATATAGCTGGAATTCACTATTCTCACACATTAGCAACAGCCAGCAATTCTGATAGATTTCAAGGGAATTGGGTGGCTTCATGAAGCCTAAACAAACAATAGTGGAAGAGAGTTATCACCCTTCTATTCATGCTTATGAGTTTGGAAGGAAATGTAGGGTAGAAATGGTATGTATTGAGCCATTAGCTAAATACTGTAATTGAAGGATCTGAACCAAAATAATTCCTGTTTGCTCACAACTGGGACATTTAGAATCAAACTCAGGATTTGGTATTGGCCTAGAATTGCAAGAAACATTCTTGTATAGCATTTTCAGAGTTTCAAAAATGAAAAATCACGTCTAATTCTGGGTTTCTTTTTAATATTAGGATGTAGCTGCTTTAGAGAGCCAACCTTTACTGGGTTTTACAGTTGCTGAAGTTAAAGATGAACACTTAGAATCTAAAGTTTTCCATTTATTGCACAAAAATACTTTATTTTACATATTCAGATCTGATGATTCCCAGTCAACACAGAGGTAAGTGGTCAGTTATTTTATTTGTTTGTTTGTTTTGTTTGTATGTATATATCTCTATCTGTGTCTGTGATCCTATTGATTATTCCCTGATTGTACAGAAATTATTTTGCCAACGTATAGATATGTTTTTAATATTCTCAGTGAAGAACCTAAAAACTAGAGTAAATGAAGTTCATTTCATTAGATTTTAGCAGAAAAAAGCAGGCATTTGCTACTTGTATATAAATTGAGCAAAAATACAGAAAAAAAAACCCATTTCTTTTTTAAAAGCCAATTCCAAAAAGTAGGGTGCTCTTTAATATTTGGATTCAAACCTGTTGTCTTAACCATTTTTCATTTAGGATTATGCATGGTTTTTTATTTGTTTATAAAATTTATAGGCTTCCCATCTTACCTCAAGGTAACTAACTGTAACATCTTCTAGTGTGGCTTTGATTGTAATTATGCTAAATAAGGATAAACTGAGTCAATTACTTAAATATTCCAATTTGGTGAATGTTCTAATTATATATACTCTAAAAACCATTACACTTGATGTAGTAACACAGCTGTAAGTTTAGAAATCTTGTATTCCCAGAAGTTGTTTGGGTTTACATATCTTAACACCCTTTCCTGACTTGATATTATTAGTAGTAGTTATTAGTGTGCTCGCCACTCTTCAAAAGAAATCCTGCTATCTAGCATCGTTCTCCATTCCTGGCACATGAGAAAATATGGTACCCATAGTCTATGTGCCTTACTGACAAACAAACCTAACCCTAACCCTTACTGACAAATCAAATTAAATTAAATGACAAATGGAAATAAATGTTGTAACACTAAGTCATAATAATTGTTGGCCCTCTGTTGAGCTGGCTGACTAGAAAAAAAAATCAACATCCCCTCACAGAGACAGAACAATCATACAGAATATAAATGGAATCAAAACTTTTATTAAAAAGAAATTTTTCCATATTTTTAAATATACACATAAAACATTCAGTAGCAGAGGAGATAAAAATATAGAGCAACTAACATTACAGATAACATGTTTCTCATAGAGAAATATATAGAACATGAAATAAAGAACCTAATTATCAGAAACAAGAAGGCATTAACTAGTAGATACAGCAAAGAAATATAAATTCCTAGCTTTTCCTATTTTCCTAGAGAATAGATAACCCTCAGAACAGATACTCCTTTTGTTCATACAGTACTTTTTAGCAAATGCTTTTTCCTGCAAATTGTAATTCAAGTCTAAAGGGTTATTTTAAATCCCACTTGTTTCCAGCCTTTTGCCTAGCAAAGTCTGAGCGATTTTTAAAAAAAGATTTCTAATGAGCAGGAAGAAAGGATTTGAAAAAAAGCTGCTTGTTTCATATGTGCCAAAACTATGTGCTTCTCTTTACAACAGAAAGAGATGTGTCAACTAGCAGCTTGCCATCTCAATGAAGAGGCTGGTGGGCAGGTTAATGAGAGAGCATATGGGGATGGGGTTGTGGTTTTGTTATTAAAATAATGTTTTCTCTTTTTCAATAGGTGGATAGAAGCTTTTCAAGAAGCCACAATATTGTAGCACATTCTGGGTTTAAAGACACTGTCAGATAACTAAATGATATTACAGTTCTGTATGTTAGAGTCAATAAATTGGCACAGGGCTGGGCAAAGCCTTTTTTTAAAGAGTGGCCTGAACCTGGTCTCTGGTTCAGGCATAATGATTTTTAAAGAAATGTGAATAATTGTTGTCATACAAAATATGTTATTTATTAAACTCTGCCACTGTTTTACATTTGGTAATGGTCAGAATCATTTCTGAAACTCAAACTGAATTTGAAAGTTTCCTTAATTACAGAACCTTATAAACCACAGTATCATTAAGTGGAAAAGTGCAACAAGATATTTCTCTGGTCTGTTCCAAAGACTATTTTCCATTTGTTATTTAATTTCACATGTGCAAAATGCAAGCCTTTTCAGTAAGCTTTTAGGATTTATTTTTACATTTTTGGTAAATCAACTGAACTCTACTGTGCATTCTATCAAACATATAGTACTATTTCATATTTGAAACAACTATATTTAAGTTTATTAATTGGCCTACATGAGGTAATGTACAAATCACTTTATAATGATTAATTGTACATTAATCTCTTACGTTATTTATCTTTTTCATATTCCATAATGCTGCATCTGATCACTCACTGGTGCTATATACGAAAGTTTTTGTGTGGGGCTTTTTTCACTAAAGCCTGAACTAGACTAAAATTAATGAAACGTCTTAGCAGGAAAAGTCCAAATATTTGTAATGGAATATACCAATCTCTCTAGAACTCTCTCTTTGGATAGTCAAACAACATTAGCTATTCAGTTGGGTAACAAGCCACAAGAGGATGGCTTTTTTCTTTATCGAGATATTTTTATCTATATGCCTGATTCAGGCATAAATATTTTTATCCAGAAATCACAGAGAAATTTGTATAATTAGAATCAAAAGAAAAAAATGAAATAGCTGCCCATTTTGTTTCTAAACACTATTTTTAAGATGGTTCTTCTAAGCTGGCAGAAGTTTCTTCACTATCACATGACCTTTTCAGGAGTTCATGTGGGTTCAGTTCTTTTCTTTGTATTTTTGTTTTATCCTCAGAGAATACATTACAATAATTACAAAAACTATTAGAACATAAGACACAGAAAATAGGCTGAAGTCAGCAAACAAAAGTAACCACTGGCCTTCCTTGTCTCTTAAGAACAAACACTGTAATATTCAGGGATAGAAAATAAGAGAAGCCTCAAGCTATGCACTATGAGAGTGCTATGTTGTCTAATACCAGCTACCACTTTATTGCCAGGTTTGGCAATAATCTCACCATCATCTGAATTGAGCTTCAGATTTTTAGTCATTATCCACTTCATCACAGCCTCAAAACATCTGTCAAGCATCAGTTTTCCTGATGATATTTAATTTTACATTTCTGGATCACTATTTTTAACAGGCCACCACTGTGTTCCAGAAGAACAGAACCTTCTGGAGGCTCATAATTCAAGTGCCACGGGGACAAATAAATCTCCAGTTGCAACTTTCTAGCAAATACTCAACCCATTCTAGCAATATCTCAAGATCAGTTCATTAGTATTAAAAATTTCTTAGAGATTCAGAAATATGAACAGAGTGGTATGGATTTTCTGTGCTATATCTGGTTGAAACCAGACTGTAAAAGATCTAAATAATCTTTCAATCATACTTGTAGTTGAATGGCTGAAATCTTTCCCAAGACATTATTTTTGGGTGCTTGTTGTTTAGAATCTATGGATTTAGTTATTTCAAGCCAATAAATAATGTCCTCAATAAAGAGGCACTGACCACTTACTGGATTTACCCAATTATATTTTACCTGAAAACTACTGGGAAGCTATACCTGATCCATAATATCGCTGTACAGGCAATAATAGCAAGATGTGCCTATGTAATAACTCTGCTACATTAATTGTACCAATTGTCAGTGAGTTTCCAGATATAATAATGTGCTGATTATGACCTGCAAAGCCTATATTTACAAAGGCCTGGGTATCTGAGAGACCAACTTTCTTTCATCATTTCTGTCCATCCAATGTGACACAACCAGAATGCTTCAGATTCCATTCTTAAAAAATTGCGTGTTGATAAGATGTAGGCTGTGAGTCTTCTCACTTAATGCGCCTGGTTGCTGGGTAGAGAACTATGCACTTTGGGGGAATTTTTACTTGTTATATTAGCAATAGCAATAGCACTTATATTTATATACAGCTTCACAGTGCTTTACAGCCTTCTCTAAGTGGTTTACAGAGTCAGCATATTGCCCCCAACAATCTGGGTCCTCATTTTACCCATCTCGGAAGGATGGAAGGCTGAGTCAACTTTGAGCCTGATGAGATTCGATCTGCCAAACTGCTGGCAGCGGGTGAGCAGTAGAAGTAGCCTGTAGTACTGCACTCTAACCACTGCGCCACTTCTAGGTCAGTGATGTAAAACCAAAACCAAAACTTTTTCATCAGGGATGAGAACTGTTATGTTCCAAATTAAACTGCACTGATTAACAACACTCTAAATCGGGTCCCCAATCCCTGGTCTGTGGACCGGCACTGGTCTGCAACATGTCAGAAACCGGGCTGCGCAAACAAGCAAAGCCCCATCCACGGGATGCAAACAGCACACAAAACCATACACCCTCCAGTCTGCAGAAAAACCTGTCTCCGCATAACCGGTACCTGGTGCCCAAAAGGTTGGAGGCCGCTGCTCTAGGTGGACAGGGAGGTCTCTATGTTCTCCCAAGCCCATTGGGAAACCAGCACAGGGCAGGAACAGTCATCTTCTGACTTCCTAATCCCTTCACCTTTCCTTCCTACAGAAGAAACTTGATTCTGCTGATGACACCGGCCCTTATTTCCCTTTACCACATACAGTCCTTACCAATTACGTAACAAAACAAATTGAAGCATATTCTTAACCCGGTAATTCTTCATCTCTTTCCCCCCCCTCCCAATTAAAGAATGAAGAAGGGTGGGTTCAAGCCTTTTCATAAGACAAAGGGATAAGCAAAAAGAAGCAGCCCCCTTTAGTGATAATGTGCTACCAATAGCAAGCTCTGATAGTTTCTAACTTTGACAGCAAACAGATTGCCAGGAGGCCTCTTGAAAATCTGCCTGCAGTCCCTCCTCCTATCCTGACATCTCAATATTTAAACGTTAAGTAAAAAGGGCTCTCTTGTAAAAGATAAAAACAACTTTCTAAAGCATGCTAAATAGAAGGCCAAATTAAAGATGCCTGACCCCAAGGGCTTCTACGGATCCAAGCATACAGTTTCTTGGCAACAAAGGAAAGTGCTTCCTCGATTTCCCAGTTAAAGCCTAGAGTAATGGTGGCCACCCATCTAAGTACTAATTAGATCAAGTCCTTCTTAGTGTCAAAGTCTAGACTAAGTCCTCCGGGGACTTCCAAGCGATAAAACATCTTCCTAGAATATGTCTCTGAAAAATGCCCGGAATACTGAATGGCCATTCCAATAGCTCTCTCCACTTGTCTCCTTAATAAACCTGATTGACAGGAAAACCCGCGAGCACGCGCAGAAAATGTTTAGCTAGTTCTCGTGTTGCTTCTTCCCCTCCTCCCCTCATTGTTACGGCTACCAAAGGCGAAAGTCTTCTTTCCTTCCCTTTCCTCGTCGGTGACGTTCATTCTTCCCTCGCTACGGGCTGGCTTTGCGCATGCGCAGCCGTTCTGCGGGTGGCGGAGGCTAACTGCGGAGGGGGAGGGGAAACAGAACGTTACGCCACGCCACACGGCGGGACAGGACCGAACGTAGAAGGCGGGGTCACGAACTCTGACCTCCCAGATCCGGAGCCGCCACCGACAAATAAACCCCGAAGAGCTACAGCTGCGCCTGACAGGTAAGAGGAGGGGAGGGCGGGGAGAGAGAGCCGAAGCGCCGCCGGTGGTATCCCAACTCAGAGAGGCCTTCCCTTCCTTCGGTTCTTGGCTGGCGAGGCGTCGTCGTGGTGGTGGTGCTGCCTAATTGCGGCCTCTTCCGTGCCCTGCAGTGGCAGGATGCCGTTATGCATGTGCTGGGCGGTAGAAGTAGTTCCTCCTGGTGTCGCCGCCGCCGCCCCTCTGACCTTTCACCCACAGGAAAGGCTTGTATCTCCCCTCCCCGGATCCTAGCCGCGCCCCGGGGCCTTTTCTTCATTATGGACCTCGCCCTCAGGTTTATGGGAACGCGATGGAATTGGAGTTGGAGTCGGCCCGGTCGTTACTTAGGCTGCCGCTTTGCTGTGTGGAAAGGCTTCGAAGCGTTGCAGCCGGGCCTCCGCAGCAGCCATTTTGTGTCGGCGAGTGACAGCGGGCTTGGTGCCTCCCTCCGACTGGTTGACGGACGGACGGCTCCCCGGGTGGGCTCAGTACTTGAGGCCTGTTATTCAAAACTCCAGAGGAAGTGGGCTAATCCCTTCCTGTATCGATGAACGTTGGTGGATACAACGGCAACAGCACACCCATCAACCAGTTTGCACCTTAGATGTCACTGACTGACCCCTTTCCTAATTTTTCCTGATAATGTTGATTTTACACACAGTTAACTCCTCTCTCCGAGTGCAAGAAATACTCTCGGTCTGTAGAGGTACATTATGTTGAAGGGAGAGTAACCTCTGTTCTTAATTTTAAAAGATTCAGCTTAATTTGCTAGTTCTTTTATCCCAAAATTTTGAGTAATGGTATAAAAGATTTCTTTCTGATTCATCAATCTATTTTTATGCACAGTGTGGGATCATAATTACGCCAAAACACTTTCACTATAATTTAATTAAATTCTCCGGCTGATGAGTTAATCTTTGGTAAGGATTTTAAGCTGTCATCCATAACTAATATAGCAAAGTACCTGGTTGCTTGTTTCTGCTTTATAAAATACTGTACTAATTATTTTACATTTTTTTAAGCATGGTATATATAGTCCACTTTTTCTTAGGTTTCAGACCAGTGTCAGTGCAGATGTTACATTATGTCATTCCCTCCAATGACTCACCTTATCCCGCCCTGCAATAGCATTCGCCACTGGGACTGAGTATCTCCTTAAAGCTAATGAATCGTACAACTTGTAAAAGTGAAAGGGTCACATTGATGAATTAAAAATAATTACTAGTTGCAAAGGAATACTTGCCATGCTGATCAGCTCATTAGAGGCCTAGCAATGTGTCAGCAGAACTGGAGTTGACGGACCTGGAGATGGAGGCAGTCAACAATATATTTGGAGGGGCAACGATAATAGTGATGGAGTATTTATTTTGGTTTTTTCTTTTAAAGGTTGTTAAACTGCACATTGCTGTTTTGCTGACTTCATTTTGAGGAGATATACAGTCTTCTAAAGTGCAATTGCCTGCAAATTCAATTCCTGATAAACCCAGTGGAAAAGATATGTAATTATATATACCTAATGAGTCCCAACCGTAATAAAACCAGACACACACTGCCTCCTGGTGGTCAGAATACTTCTCATTAATGACATCAAAAAGTATCTGGCTTTGAAGTCTGGGATGTTGCATTTTGATTCAATAAAACAGATACATGTCAGGTTTTCTTTGAAAATGACATTAAAAACGTTCCCTTGCCCATTCCCTTACTTATTCTTAACATGCATTTCTTAGATTGCTTAGATTATATACTTCTAGTCTGAGTATTATAGTTCTGATCTAAATTTTAAAATTCAATTTTGTAAGTTTCAAAAATAACAGTGAACTAATGTGATTTCTGAAACTTCTAATACTTAGCTGAACTTACATTCATATTGTCTCTAAATTTTAAAAGTGAATCATTATCTCAAAAAGGAAATTCTGCTGGATAAGATCAATTATACTGTTGCAAAGAAGTTATTGAAGATTAATAGATCTTTCTGTTGTTTTTAAAAAGGTTTATATATGTGTTAATTTTCACTGTTCTTATTATTAAAAAAATTGAGGGTGGGTCAAACATCCATATGAATATTTAGGTTTCAAGCAGTTATCAGGCCTTTCAGCTGAACATTGCAGAAAATAAAATGATTATTTTATTCTGCTGTAGACCTTTTCCAAATAATTGTCATGATCTTATTTATTTCAGATTAATTAGAAGCATCATTTGTATTTTTCTTGATTGTTCAGAAAAACCATTATATTTGATCTAAAAATCAGAATGCATAAGCACCTAGTGACTTAATTGTGTTCATAGTTCTTAGTTTCAGAACAGACTGTAGTTGTAAACAAATTAATCTGGAAATCAGGAAAAGGTTTACCTCTGTGACAATACTGCAATACATATTGCTGTAATTTTTATTTACTGTATAGCAGTACTTAAATTGCTGCAAGATATATATAACTTAATTTTTAAAATATTTTTAGTGTAATGAAGTAAACTCTGAAGTTGCTATTTAAAATAATTCATCCAGTTTGTGGTCTAGATTCCCTTTTTTTCTGATATAAATTAACTACTCTGATACTTTCTGTAGATTTACCCGGGAATAAGCAATCCAGACTAAAATGCTTACAAGTAATTTTTAGATGTGATTTGTACATTTGCCAAAAATAGAAACATAAGAAGCTATAACAGAATTAAGGTGTCTGTGATGCTTAGGGTATTATGGAATAACTATTAGCAACTTTAATCTACATAGCTAATGGTGAAGAATTAATTTCAACAATTCAGCAGTATCTGAAGATTTTGTAATACAATGTGGCTCGGCTATTTTTTGTAGTGACATAGTTACCCATTTCCCATAATAAGATGAAGATAGTGTCATGCCAGATTGGTAATGTGTAAAGGTCTGCCTTTTAAGACCACCAAAAATTTGCAATTAATGCTGACTGCTGTGGAACTGGTTATTGTGCAATTCAGAGTGCTGGTTTTCATCTTAAAATCCTGGGCAATTTGGCTTCTATTCTTTGTAAGATTGCCTTCTGTGTGTGAAACTGATATATGCATTCCAACACATCTGTCAATGGTGTTTCATTACCAATATCTCTCTGTCAGATCAGTGCTCATACTAATGATCTTCTGAAAAATAGTGAACATAACTTTTTAGGAAGTATTTGGAGGATGATGGGTGTTAGTTACCTATACTATTGCAATGTATTATTACTGTATGGATACATTAATTTTTGGACAATGAAAACTATTAAAGGAGGAAAATCAACTTGTTTGAACTGTGGAATTGGAGAAGGCTCCTGCATGTTCCTTGGACAGCAAAGGTGACAAGAGTGTATAAAACCAGGCGTTTCACTGGAAGGCAAAATCATAAAATTTTTCCTTACTTACTTTGGCCATGCCATGCGATTAAACTAATTGGAAATGGCAGATATGCTCAAAATGGTGATTTAAAAATGAGGCTGCCAGAAAACATGTTGACTAGACGCCATCAAAGCCAACCCCAACCAGAGCATAAAACAACTGAAAGAAGCCATATAAGGTAGGAAAATATATAGAGAGAGGTGGTCCATTCAATCACTGAGAATCTGACACAATTGAACAGATAGTATCACCATCATCTTAGTTGTAATATTTATTTCCAGTATTTATATTCTCCCGCAATCCTAATAGATTCTGGGCATATAGTGTCACAATAAAGCATATAATACAAAAATCCAAGCATAACGGAAAACAAATAAGGTACTGAAAAACACTAAGGTCTAAAAGCATGCTCAAGAATATGGTTTTGGTGGAGGTCTGGTTTTCTCCTTGGTAGTTCCTTGATTAATATATTTGTTAGCCTGCTTCATGGTTAGCCTGCTTTCTCTTCTTTGGAATGTTTATACTTCTGGGTTTTTTTTCCAAATAATGTTATTGAATAGTATAAGTAGAAGAAAAAGTATACAAACTATAAAATATAAAAAAAAATATGAAGAAAAACTACCTTATTTATACTTGCATATCAAATTTGTATGGCCATCCATCTTATAGGTTCATTTCATAGGTTCATCACTTTTGATTCCAACTTCCATCTTCATCCCAACAAATGCAAACAAGTTAAGTAATTTATCACCTTTCTTAAGATACAGAGTATATTCTCTTCACCTCTTCTCTCTTAACTAATCAGCAAAAGTCCAATGAAGGATGCCACATATAACTAATTATCTTTCTTAACCTTTCATAACCTTGATTGAATAAGCCAACCTTAAATTCCTTCTCTATAATTTTAACATTCTGAACTCCTTGCAATGCAGTCCCAAAGCTTAATTTCTTGTCATCTTTTTTTGTCCTTTCATTTCAAATTCATTTTATGACCTTTCTTGTCACAGTTGTTAAGTGAATCACTACAATTATTAAGTTAGTAACACATTTGTTAAGTGAATCTGAGTAGTTCCCCATTGACTTTGCTTGTTAGAAGATTGCAAAAGATGATTGCATGACACCAGGACCTTGCAACTCATAAATATGAACCAGTTGCCAAGCATCTGAATTTTGATTACATGACCAGAGGATACTGCAATGGTTTTAAGTGTGAAAAGCGGTCATAAGTCACCTTTTTCAGTGCCATTATAATTTCGAACGTTCACTAAATATATTGTAAGTTGACAACTACATGCATATGCAGAGACATAACATTCTCAAGAACAATATTGTCAAGATAATTTTCTGAGTTGTAAAATATGGCTTTGAAAACATTCAAAAAGGTGAATAAAGAAAAATGGATGCCTTTGAATTGTGATGCTCAAGAAATTCATTGAGAACTTTATAGAGTGTAAGAATAAAACAGTTAATACTACATGGAGAAAAATAGACAGAAAATGCTAATAAAAAACTAAAGCTTAAATATTTTGGACATATAGTGTGATGGTAAGAATTATCCAAGAAGATCATCTTGCTTGGAAGAATCACAGGCAATTGAAGACCAACAGATAATATGGTAGCTAAAAGTATCACAATGACTTAGCATGAATCTGTAAGATTTCCAAGAAGCAAGATTCCAACAAAATAATGTCTTTTCAGTCACAAAAAATCAAGATTAGCTATGGAATAACATGTCTCAACAGTTTTAACCTCAGAAATTGTGAACACCCTTTTCAGCTACACAACTTATGATTGTTTTAAATATTCCATGGATAGAAAACTGTTTTTATGAAGTTTAATTTTTTAATCCACTCATAGTAAACCAGAACTCTTTGTAAACAGGTACAGTGAATGTTAATATTGTAGAAATACTTGAGAATATACAGTACCTGGAGAGCCAATTTGGTGTAGTGGTTTTAAGGCATCAGGCTAGAAACTGGGAGATCATTAGTTCTGGTCCTGTCTTAGTCATGAAGCTAGTTTGGATGATCTTAGGCCAGTCACTCTCAGCCCTAAGGCAATGACAAAGCACTTCCAAAAATTCTCGCCAAGAACACTGCAGGGATTTCTCCAGGCAGTCATCAAGAGCCAATAAATTGACAAAGACAAAAAAGTGGCATTAACAAAGAATTGGTTATAGAATGTAGTTTCTAATACATCTAGCTTTTTCTCAAGGTTGGAAAGTAATGGGTAGAAGTATGCATTCTTAGGAATAAGACATTTATTGATATAATTTAAACAAATTTTGGTTTGCAGTATACATAATAGCACCATATAGTGGGCATATGCTCTTAATGTGCTATTTATTATATTAAGAAAAAAATCTTAATTGCCATAAAGAGCACCTCATAGTGTGTGTATATATGTTAGGATTAGGCAGTGATAAAGTTTCAAATGAGCAAAGTAGTTTAGAGAACAATGTATGTAGGCACTAGTGGTAATAGCTTTATTATTATCAGTAATTACAAATAAAAACACTTATGTTAAAAGAAAAAGGTAAATTCAGGTAAAATGGTAGACCATTATAAAATAAATAAGAGTTGAAAAAATGTATAAAACTAACTATAAAATATTCAGAGCTAATTTACTAAATTACTAAAATGATTAAATTATCCATCACAAAAAACTTCAAATATTTAATTTTAAGTTAATTGTAATTAGAATGTTTAACTTTTTAAGTGATAACTCTATTAACATAAATAAAGTAATACACATGTGTTAGCTAACTTTGATTGTTGTATAACATTATAAAATATGTGATGAATTTTAAAATACCTTGATCAGAAGATTATAAGATTATATAGGGAAAACTAAACTGGCCACTTTCCTGAGGTCATATCCAAAGTGTCTGCAGTAAGGGCCACAATAAAATTAGCATCTGTATATTGCCTGTCTCTTGTTAAAAGAAGTCTAATCGAGTCTTTAAGGCCAATTTGAATAAAAGGGGTAACATAGACATGCTATTCATTCCATTTCTTCTGTGTGCATGGATGTTATTGTATTGGTATGCCATTTTGTACCCTTCTGGAAAAGGCAAAGAGGAAACATTGAGTCTAGCTAATGTACAGACTCATCTGCCTCTAGGCACAAAATTCCGGTAAGGTATTTGATCTCTGACCATGGCCTTCCTAGCATGGCTAAGTTTCAGATTTTTGAAGTAAAGCTTAGGTCTTTTTGTAAATCTAGGTCAAGGAACTTACATTTATATTTCCAATAGAATTTTATCATAGCCAATTAAGAGCCAAGAATTCTTTATTATCCATTGTAGGTGGGTGATGTTTCTTTTTTGATAGTTTGCGTAATATAGAGGAGTTGAATGAAGTTGGGACAAATGTACATCCCTGTTTCATCACCTGCTGAGTGGAAATTGTTGGAGAGAGGACAGATGGGCTGAATAGCTGCATGGGATTAGTATGATGTTATTCTTCATAATTAGCATGGGACAATGCTAATCAGTGGATGAGACTTGGTTTCTCCCATATCCTGCTTCTTGGGATCCAATTAATGCTGTCTAATGAGTTTGCCTTTTCAGTCAGAGGACTGGATGATAGTCTAGCATTGAACAGCCCTTGCTTTTGTATAGGCATTCATCTTGTACTATCAGCAATTCTTTTCTGATTTACACAACTACTGTTACACAAATTTGATGAAAATGCATCTATTTTAAGGAGGTGTTGAGAGGTATGATGTGTATGCATTCCAAATCACCTTTCCCTTTAGATTCCAGATCTCGATACAGTCCATTAATGTGTGCATGTATATATTAAATAGTCATAATCAATTAATATTAAAAAGTCATTGACAATCTTCACTTCAGATAATTAAATTTTAATAAAATATATATGCTTGGTATTTGGCTAATTCTTGCTTTGATTGAAAATCCTTCTATAAATCCATTTTTGGATTTTATAATGCTTTATAATGAATTATATTTCTTTCTATAAACTCACAGGAGTCTCCAAATAATGATTATGCATACAGGAACTGAAGTATAACATTATACCTATGGTAAGAAGAATTCTTGATTTCTGTTTGTTTATATTTCATCATTCAATTCAAATTCAACTCAAATTAGCAAAAGAAAAATTTGAAAAAGAATACAAACAAGAAAAATTAAACACCTGACATCAGTGTATTCATAAATAACATTTAGGTATTTAAGTATGTAAAGCCTGCCTTCCAGTGTGGATTAGTCATTTAGAATGGATATAATTTTAACAAATCTAATACAAAAATTAGAATTATATTGAAGAAAAATGAAAAGAAATAATTAGTTTTTTTAAAAAAGAATTATATACAGGTAGTCCTCAATGTACAACCGGTTGTTTAACCATTCAGAGTTATAATGGCCTTGGAAAAGGTACTTTATGGTCTGTTAAGTAACTACAGCTCTCATAAAACATCCCCCTCATGATCACAATGCTTTTTGGGCACTTGGCAACCTGTTTGCACATACAACCACTTGCCAAATGCCTTGAAATTATGTGATCGCCATTTGTAATCTTCTCTACCAGCTTCTCCAGAAAGCAAATGGGGAGGCCGACAGGGAAGGTTGCATGCTGCAGCTGCCTATCAAGAAGATTTCTTCTTATTTCTGGGACTGGTCGAAAGAGCTGCCTGCCAAGGGGAGCTGAATTCCTTCACTGGACTCCAGAAATGGATCCTGGATGCTAGAACTCCAAGTTCCGTTCCTGCAGCCTGGGAAAGGCGTTTTTGCACAGAAGGAAGCTGAATTTCACCAGGTTGCAAAAAAAGAGTTCTATTCCACGCATGGAGAGAAATCAAAATCGTTTGGCAGGCTGCTCTTTCACTCTGTCCGCTTAACCACCCTGGAGATCACTTAATGTCCTCAACCAGGAGTGCCAGTATTACGGTTGTTGAGCAAATCATTCATATGGGCATCTTGCTTAACAACCACTTCATTCAGCAACCAAGATTTAGATCCCAATTGTAGTCATAAGTCAAAAACTGTGTAGTAAAATCAAGCATGTATTTCAGATAAAATTTATATTGCCTCTGTAGTGAATGCCAGAATAAGATCTGTGAAAACCACCAGTCTAGCCTTTTATGGCTTCAGTTTAGATGGGGAAAAAAACTATTTTTTTGTTTACCTGGATTTATTATTATGATTGCTATTTAGATACTTTCTTATACAAATATTTGCTCCCAAAAACATTATCCTAGAACTGTAATGGTGAACCTATGGCACATGTGCCACAGATAGTATGCAGTGCTCTCTCTGTGGGCATGTGAGCCGTCGCCCCAGTTCAGTTCCACCTCACATGTGCGCATGCCTCCTCGCCAGCTGGTTGTCAGTTCTCTGCCGCGCATGCGCGGGATACATGCAGGGGGGCTATGCGCACGTGCAGGGGGGGGCGCACACATTGCATTTTGGGGGTTCGGGCATGCGCTTTGGCCACTCGGTCCGGAAAAGGTTAGCCATCACTGTCCTAGAAGGTAGGTTCTTTGGGGGGAAATTTATAGAAATTATGGTGGCTTTGAAATTAATACTTAATTCTTAAGGAAATATACACTTCTATAATTGATAGATATTTGTTCAAAATGAAATTTTAAAAGATGCCTTAAATAAAACTTAGTAATTATGTATGCAGTCAAGTCCATTTTGTAAAATATAGCCATATAACATGATCTTTTCCTTATCTATTGTGTTAATACAGTATGTTGGGTGAATAAGCAACTACGAATGTAGAACAATAGAAGTAATTGCTAGCAGTTACACCTTGTTTAGCAACTGTTTGCAGTTATGAAGGTGATGAAAAATAATTTATGTCCAATTCTTGCATTTAAGACTTTCAGCAAAGGAAAACTGAAATAAGATCATAAAGGCTGTCATGATTTCACTTAGCGACTGTTTCACTTTATGATCAAATTGCTGGTACCAGTTGTGGTTGCCAGAAGAAGATTATTTGTTCTTTTTTTGCATAAGCAGGAAATGCTAATGTCATGAGCCTATATGGAATAGACCTTGAAAGGGGTACTCATTTTTCTCTGTAAAAAAGAGGGAAATTAAAGAAAGTAGCATGAGGTCAACTACTTCCCTTACCCAAATTGTTCATTATTTGTATTGTAATTTTTTTTAAAGGAAAATGTCTCTTTAACAGGGAATACTGATGATTCAGAATCATGGCAACTATTGAGGAATTGGCCCATCAAATTATGGAACAACAAATGGGGGAGGTATTTACATTTTTAAAAAAGTTTTATAATAATAAGGAATATATAGAAATTTTCTAGTAGGTCATTATCCAACACTAGAATTTTATAGACATCTTGAGTACAAAGCAAATAACTTTATCCTGTGCTAGAGGAGTTTACTTCCAATAAAGAATGCAGCTTTCACCTTTTTTTTTTGATAGATAACACACTCCCAAGGATCTGTTACACAGACATTAATGGACGGAACAGCACAAAGAATTCAGATTGTTCCTGCTGATGCAGGACTTTCCTTACCACAGCGGATACAGGTAAAAATCTGTTTCTTTTTTTACTTAATTAAATAATTGAAAAATATTTAAACATCTAAACATCAGGTGTACAATAACATGATTTTTGAAGCCCTAGAAAAATATGCAGAAAAAAATAATAAAAGATAATAAAACTATCTAGAATACAACATAACATGCATTATGCTTTAAAATATCTTTTTAAAGAACTATTCTGTAAAATGACAGTATTAGAAAGAGGGTGAGTTACAAACCATTGCTCTGTTCTTCAGATTTGTGTATCTTAATTCTTCAAGCCAAGGAACAAGTCAGAAGAAATCAGCCAATATATTGATTTCTTTCGTTTCCAGATAAAAGTGTTTTCCAGAAAAAACACAAGCAACTGTGAAAGCTCCCATGTGTTCTTATGGAGAAAAGATCATCTTCTGAATTCTGAAATAGATGATAGATTTGAAGGAAGGGATGTACTTTATACTATTTACATATAGTAGTGTAAAAGGAATGATCTCTTATTAATGCATTAGATTAGCCTTCCCATCTAATGTTGTTCAGATGGGTTTGATAATAATTTTTATCCAACATATTGACTGAGAAATATGGATGGTTGTCTAGTATTCTACCTATTGTACAGGAATAAATTCTTACCTTGAAAAGAATTGAATCTATTCCAAAATGTGCACATATTTTTTAGGGTTTTGATTTCTTTTCTTTTTTTTTAATAAAAGTTATAAAATTCTTTTCAGGCCAGCAAGCATAGATTTTTTAAAATTATTGGTAAATTGAGAACTAAACTATAAAATGTATTCCATTGAGTAATTTTCCACAGACAAGGATTCTGAGAGTTGTCTGGGCACAATGTTTAAGGTTGAAATATTGTTGTCCTTAATGTTAATTCATGGAATACTCTACATGCTCATCTTCTGAAAGCAGATTCATTTTGTCAGTCAAACTTGATAATATCACAGCTATCTTAGATCACATCTTTTAAAAACTTTTTTTAATAATAAACCACAATAATAAGTCAAAGTAAATATGTCACCAGATCGTTACAGATCAACAGACAGGGCAGAAAATTCAGATTGTGACAGCACTCGATCAGACTGCAACAAGCAAGCAGTTCATTTTAACAAATCATGATGGTTCTACCCCAAGTAAAGTGATCCTTGCAAGACAAGATGCTACACCAGGAAAGGTTTTTCTGACAACTCCCGATGCTGCAGGAGGCCAACTGTTTTTTACGTCCCCAGATATATCAGCACAGCACATTCAGGTATGGTATCCTATTTTATGATGGTTTATTCATACAACTTTTAAAAATGAAAGCCTTGTTCCCAGTAGTTATACTAAGCATTTTCATGCTATCAACATATAGCAACTTTCTTTGATATAAATTAGATAATGAACAATGTAGTCCAATGAATAGTTTTATTGTTTACGATACTCATGAAATTAGGAAAATTATAATAAAACTATATTTATAACCATTCTAGATATCCTGCATCTTAAATTAAATCTTAATTTTCTAAAGTAAATACAATTTAATTTTGAATAGATTCAATCTGAAATTGAACAGTAAAATAGAAAAATCAAATTAAAGAATGATTCATAAGCCTTTAATCATAATTATTTTTATTCTTTCCTGTTCAGTTTTTACCAAGTGCAGGATTATAGTAAAACAATAATAGTTTCTGAAATATTATCAAATACATACTCCTTTGAAATATGCTTACCCTCCTTCATTTTTGGGAATTTGTCTATAAATATGACTTTAAAAAAAGAAGTTAGTGAAAACAAGATGTATTACTTTGTAATTTTTTTTCCAGATTTTGACAGACAATTCTTCAACAGAGCAAAGCTTAAATAAAGTATTTGATCTCTGTGTTGTTTGTGGAGACAAGGCTTCAGGTAAATCTCTACGTACTTTGCAGAATGAATTAGAAGACTTTTTAACCTATGTTCATCTTATGAAATATGTAACTTAATTTTCCTTTTCTTTTATGACTAATACACTTAAACATTGCATAAATATGATTGCATCGAAGCTATGAGCTATTAAAAACAATTTGTTACATCAGAAAGGAAAAATGAAATTGTTGAAAGCATGAAATAATTCTGCTTAAAATGAGACATTTTGAATAGCACTTATATGTGATAAGTAGCAGAGTTCTTTGATCATGTCAATTTCTATTTCCATGAAGTTGATATGAGTATCTCTGATGAGCATATGATAATGTTTATATTCCATAAGCCTGCACTCTTTTCTCAATGGCAACAGTTAGCTCATTTTAAGCATAAAACATTTTGTATTTTGAGAACATTTTGAGCATTCAGCAGTTCTGAGAACAGTACATTTGTTAGTGTGTATTTGATAAACAAAAGCAAACTTAGAGTAAAATTAATACATTTTGTTATGAAATCAGGACGCCATTATGGAGCAGTGACCTGTGAAGGTTGCAAAGGATTCTTTAAAAGAAGTATACGGAAGAATTTAGTGTATTCATGTCGGGGAACAAGAGACTGTGTGATTAACAAGCATCATAGAAACAGATGTCAGTACTGTAGGTTGCAGAGATGTATTGCATTTGGAATGAAACAAGACTGTAAGTTCGAAAGAAATAAAATCATGTAATGCTGTATTGTTTTTTGCACCATTCTTGCATGATACATTTATCTTGGTAAATAATAAATTAAAAGTTTAGAAAGAAAATGCCACTTAAGCTCTGAAAACTAAATTATTTTTGGAATGATCTTTTTTTCTTAGGATTCTTATACAGGTAGTTCTCGATTTACAATCACAATTGAGCACAAAATTTATGTTGCTAAATGAGACATTTATTAAGTGAATGTTTCCCCATTTTACAACCTTTCTTGCCACAGTTGTTAAATAAATCACTGCAGTTGTTAAATTAGTAACTTGGTTGTTAAATGACTCTGGCTTCCCCATTGACTTTGCTTGTCAGAAGGTCACAAAAACATGATTCTGGGACTGGGATTCTGGGATTGCAACTGTTATTAATAAGTTGCCAAATGTCTGAATTTTGACCACATGACTATAGGGATGCTGCAATGATCGTAAGTGTGAAAAATGGTCATAAGTCACTTTTTTCAGTGACATAATTTTGAACAGTCACTAAATGAGCTGTTATAAATCAAGGACTACCTGTATGTTAGAATTCTTATATGTGTGCATATATAATGCTGATAAAGAGGCTTGCAGTATATCTTAAAGATGCAAGATATTTTAGATTTTGCGAGTCCATTCTTTTCCGCCGTTATAAAACAGAGAACTGTACATATTGACATCTATGGAAAACAACTCATTTGTTTACTTGGGTTGAAAGAGACCTTTCTCTGATGCTTAAATCAGTGGCATCAGTTTTTTTTTGGACCAATTGCTTTCAAATTCTGTTTGAACGAACCACAAGATTTTTAGGACCTTTCTAGAGATTCTCAATAATATAAATAGCTATTTCCTTGAAAGTTTATCAAATACATTGTAATTGCTTTAAAACATGCAACCAAATGGGAGGATTGAGCTTGCTGTGCAAACGGACACAATTATACAATAAATAAACCTGTTATTAGTCTTTGCTAAGACTTTTGGGCTCACTATTTTCCCAGAGATAACAAATACAAACTTGAGACAAAATAGTTGAATGAATATCTTAAAACATTACAGAGACAATATAAGATTGGAAATTACTGCTGTAATTTCCTGTTAATTACTGTTAGCAGTAATTACTGTTGTTACAAACTAATATTTTCTTATGAAAATATATGGTTACATAAATTGGTAATACTGTACAATTTCAGTTTTGCAAAACTATGCAGTAATAGGAATACAACACTGGAAACGTTTCAGTAATAAAAATTTATTAGAAAACTGCTATAAAGTTATGATCTTCTTATTCCTAACCTCCTGTTTCCCCTGCATGAATTCTGATCTTATAATCATATTAACTTCGACAAGCTCTATACATTTATATAAATTGATGCTAATGCTATTTCTATTAGAATTTACATATGAAAGAAATGATGGTATGTTATTCTGTATACCAAACTTCAAAGCATAAGATAATCATCAATAATATCTGAGGTTGTTTCAAAAGAAATTATTTAGATTTAATACAAGAAGCAATTACATTTAAAACTATCAAGTTGACCAAGTAACTAAAAATTCAAAACTGGTTTCTAAAAACTAAAGCCAAATGTGGTTGGATATTGAATTGATTTTGATAATTCCACCATTCTTTGTAGCTGTACAGTGTGAAAGAAAACCTGTTGAAGCATCACGAGAAAAATCTTCAAATTGTGCAGCTTCTACAGAAAAGATTTATATTCGAAAAGATTTGCGAAGCCCACTTACAGCAACTCCCACTTTTGTAACAGATAGCGAAACAGCGAGGTACGCAAATATTAATTTAGTTTCAATCTCTTTGACATTGAGGCCTTTCTAAAACCATGAAGCAATATTTGTGTTCTTTCATTTCAGATCAACAGGAATGTTGGAGTCTGGAATGTTTGTTAATATTCATCAGTCTGGATTAAAGAATGAACCTGCAGTACTGATGACTGCAGATAAGGTATTGAATAAAATAAATGATTTTTACAATATTTTTATAATATTAAAGAAGTGGCTTCCAAGTTTTATCATGCCATCCATAAGCTAATATAATAGCATTCCACCGTCTTTTAAAGTACAAATTAAAAAAAATCTGCAAATGAAGGTGAAAAAAAATATCTTCTCCCCTTAGCATAACTTTTATCTATATGCAATTAGGGAATTGCCATCTTTTCAGTCTTTGTTCAGCAAAAAGTCATTAGGAATTGCCATAAATATCAAATAGTTAATTTTTCTCTGATCAAAATCATTCCAATGGCAACATAGTTTTTGATCTTTCATCAATCTTTGGCATTCAAGAGGAGTTTTCAATGTTTTATTTTGTAATAATAAAGACGCGTCATCCAGAATTTCTTCTCACAACTGTTCTATGTCCAGAACTTTTTTTTTATTTGTCTTTTATATTCCCATTTTGGTGATCTCAAATTTGTTGTCTTCTATGCCTTCAAATTCTGTAATGTCAGGTAAAAGTAGTTTCAATTTTTTTCTCATCTTCTACAAATGTATCCATTAAAATCGGAATCTTTTCTGTAGTTAGCAATATCTCAGTCCAGTTGTCAAAAAAAACTTTTTTGCCATTTTGACTCTTTTCTGATTGATCCTTTATTTCCCTGTAATGTCCATTTGCAATCTTCATCAAGTCTCATTCCTATTACAGATTTAGAGTTGTTTTCCATGAGTATATTACTTAATTATATTCTTGTTTTTCAACTCTTACAGAAAAAATAACCAATATTCTAAAATCTTTTTGCTCTCCCAATATGTTTAAAACTTTCTTAAATCCAAATCCTTTCCATTTTTTGCTTTTTGCTAATTGTACAATTATTTTAAATTCTTTAGTCTCTGTTTAAAATTTCTTAAACCCAAAGAAGGTAAAATTCACTAGGTGTCAAACTACTCAGTTTTGAATATTCTAATATCCATAAAGTTAAATTGAACATTTCTGAATGTGATTAGAAAGTGAGTTCATCTGACTGTCTTTTTTAAAGGCTTGTACCTTTTCTGTTAAAATGCACCTTTTGTACATTGTTTTAAAATACTTTCTTTTGGCCTACTCTTCAATGCTTATCTCCTCCTTGTATCATCACCTCAGTGTTTATGCTATAGTTTGATTGAATCTTTACTCACCACAAAAAGATTAAATATACATCAGAATTCAGTTGAAGACAAAAGTACTTCCTGAATAATCTCTGCTAAAGAAAGTTGTCATAGAGAGGAGGTTTGGATGTGCAGGAATCCCCTTTTTATATTCAAAACCCAAATGACTTCTCTTTTAATACATGACAGAGACTGTGTTTAAATTCCTAGATTGCAACATCATGCTAATCTCTTAAATGGATATCTAATGGCAAGATTTATGGGGATTCTTGTTTCTGCAAGTAAAAGAATTGGTAGTCATTGTTAGTTGTGAACCACCTAATATTTCAGTGGTTATTAACATAAAGATTGTAGCTATTTCTAGCAGCTTAGTATCTACAAAACTCTTTCTGTCAAAAACATTGCTAAGCAATAAGTTTTAGTTAAAATATATAATGACTAGTATCAGTACTTCGATTTTTATGTATTAATCAAGCATCTTATAAAACTAGCAACAAATATTCTGCAATAAAATGTCAGGAATAGTGTCAGGAATAATACCTATCAATAATGACTAAGTTACTTTTTCCCACTCTTTAGGTTGAAACGTGTCAAGGAGATTTAAGTACTTTAGCAAATGTTGTAACTTCACTAGCAAATCTAAATAAGTCCAAAGATATATCTCAAAATAGTGATGATCTGTCAATGATAGACAACTTAAGCAATGGAGATGCATCATTATCAGAGCTTCAGCAAGATGAACATGCAAGTGCTGATGTTACAAGGTAAGGAGTAATAATATCCGAATATTTTGTCATAATATAGGAAATGCAGTAGAATCTTGAAGAAATATGAAAAAATAATGTTGAATGTTCAACTGTATCTTAGTAGGCAACATGGAGCAGCCAGCTAAGTGTTTAACAGAATTTAACAGAGATACCTAGTTGGAATACATGTACGTTGTTTTATTAGTGAGATTTATTTATTTATTTATTTATTAAATTTATTTGCTGCCTATCTGCCCATGGGGCTATTCTAGCCGGTTTACAACAATAAAGGTAATCCTTGACTTATAACAATTTGTTTAGTGACTGTTCAAAGTTAGAACAGCATTGGAAAAAGTAATTTATCATACTTATGACCATTGCAGAATCCCCATGGTCATGTGATCAAATTCAAACAAATGGCGATTGACTCATATTTAGGACGGTTTCAGTGTCCTGGGGTCATGTGATCATCTTTTGCAACCTTCTAACAAACAAGGTCAATAGGGAAGCCAGATTCGCTTAACAACTGTGTTACTAACTTAACAACTGCAGTGATTCACTTATAACTGTTAGCAAGAAAGGTGATAAAATGGGGTAAAACTTAGCAACAAAAATGTTAGCTTCAATTGTGGTTGTAAATCAAGACTACCTGTAAAAAGAATGTAAACAAAACAAGTAAAATAGTAAAACAATAACATAAACAATGAAAAAACAATTAAGAATATATCAATATAATAACAAAAAGGGTGAAGAGTAGAGAGCAAGAAGGGTAGGTAGAGTCTGCCATCAAGCATCCACCTCAAGCGTGGAACTCCCCCATTGGGTCCTCAGGCCAACCAGCAAAGGCAAGTTTTCAGACTCATGTGGAAGGATAGGAGAGATAGTACAGATATTACTCTAGAGCACGGGTATCCAATTTGCAGCGTGACGTTGCTGTCACATGACATATTGCAATGTTTCTCCCCTTCGCAGAGCTCGGGTGGGCATGGCCTGCACATGATGCATCCAACCCACAGGCCGCCAGTTTAACACCCCTGCTCTAGAGGTTAAGATATTCCAAAGGGCAGGCGCTGCTGCAGAGAAGGCACTTCTTCTGGATCCTGATAGTCAGAGTTCTTTGACCAACAGGACCTGTAGTAGGCCCTTTCTGATGGCATGAGTAAGACAGGCAAGGTAAACCTGGACCTATGCCATTAAGGTTCACCATGTAGCTTAGACCTACACCATTAAGAGCTTTAAAGGTCATAACACATTGATCTTCCCTCAGAAGCAGATTGGTAGACAGTCACGTTTGCACAATAGAAGTATATAAGATGGGGTCCCAAAGAATGTTCTCACTGCTGCACTTCGCACCAGCTGAAACTTCTGAATAGATTTTGCCCCATGGATATGCAGTAGTCCAGATGAGAGATGACTGGGGCTTGAGTAACTGAGCGCAGGGAGTCAGAAACCAGGAAAGATTGCAGCTGGTGCACAACTGGAGCTGTGCAAAAATTCTCCTGGTCATGCTCACTACCTGATTTTAGAGCAGGAGATATATGCATGAGTATTATGCCCACTTGCTCCTTTATTTTGGCATTCTTATCTTTTTAGAGTGCCTTGAATCATCATTTTGTGGGTTAATTAACAATAGTTTCAATTTATGTCTGGATTAGGAAAGTCTACTTAACTAAATTAAAAAAAACCAGAACCTTACATCACAGATTGAAGTTGATTTATGATTCAGATAACTAATTTCCGGGAGGTGTGACCCAGAATTTAAGAGTATATTAAATATATGTTGATACTCAAAATTATGTACCAGCTTTCTTTTTAATATTGACTGAGTGTGCTTTGAGACTCTAGGCATGTCAGATACTAAGAATGAATTATATGAATTAACAGGATACTAGTGTCAGCCTTGGAAGCCATATTAGGCCGGAAGCTTCAATGCTGCCACCTCCTCATGTGTGGGAAAGTAGGAGGGGGGGATTTAGGAGAGGGGAATTAGTAGACATAATAGCATTCTTCCTATCGGTCAAAGTCAGGGCGATCCAGCATCTGGAGGAGGCGTGGTCAGGGGCTGGGTCGAGGTGGAACGGACGTTGATTGGAGCATGTGATGGGAGAAGGGGGAGAAGGAGAAGATGGTTTTGGGAGAAGGGAGATGGTTTTGGGAGCTTTGAATTACTGAAGGAAAGCCCGGGCTTTTCGGGATTTCCCAGATGTGTCAGTTTACCTATTCGAGTAAAGAGAACTTTGGAAAATGCCTGCTTCCGCGTCTTTACTGGGAGTTGGGGGTTTTCTGGAACGCTGACAACTAGTGTTTGTAGCTCACCACTCAGTGCTTTGTACTAAAATAAATTGCATCTTCAGGTTCTGCCTGGTTGGTCTTCAAGATTCAGGATCTGGAATCTCATTTCTGGTTCCTCCTTTCCTCTTACAATTTAATTTAATTTGTATTCTTTGGATCAATAATTTTTAAAAAATCTTTTTGCCTTTTGTAGTTTATTAATCTTAGTATCCAATGTATTGTCTATAGGGCATTTGATACTCTTGCAAAAGCATTAAACCCAGGAGAAAGTACACCATGTCCAAGTTCTGCAGAAAGTATGGAAGCAAGTGCACATCTAGCTGGAGAAGAAGCAAGCATGAATATTGTTGAAATAGAAGGCCCACTACTAACCGATGTTCATGTAGCTTTCCGGGTACTTAAAATATGCATTTATTTATAACTCTGCTATTTAACTTCTGTAGGGATTATTTTAAAGTTTGAGTTTATATGCATTTAATATTTGAGGAATGTATTTAGATTCAATTTGAGTAGCTGACAGCTCTAGAGAATATATACAATTGCTTAATTGAACAATACAGATGCTCCTCATTTAACAGTCACAAGTGGAACCGGTAGCTTGGTCATTAAGCTGAGCAGTTGCTAAGTAAAACTGTTACTGTGCTTGTGATCTTCATCTTTGGTTTGCTTTACAGACCTTTAAAGGTCGTAAATGGGAGACTTGTCACAAAGTTACTTTTTATCACTACTGTAACTGTGAATAGTTCTTGTACAAGGCAAACAACAGAGAACATTTAGCAGTAATGAGAACTGATACTTTTGCAGTAAATCAACATAATAGAAAGGTTCAATAGAAATTCTGATAGATATGGATACTGCGCCTTGGTGGCGCAGCAGACTAAAGCACTGTTAAGTAACACCAGCTGCCTGCAATTACTGCAAGTTCAAATCTCACCAGGCTCAAGATTGACTTAGCCTTCCATCCTTTCGAGGTAGGTAAAATGAGGACCCGATTTGTGGGGGCAATAAGCTGACTTTGTATAAAAAAAAGAACACTGCTTGGGGAGGGGCGAAAGCCTACTAAGCAGGTATATACAAAAGTATGAAGGCTATTGCTTAACGCATTGTAAGCCACTCTGAGTCTCCGGAGAAGGGCGGCATATAAATCGAACCAATCAATCAATCAATCAATAATAAATACCCACCATGAGAGGTCTGTAGACTAATTTTACTAGATATGAAATTAAATAAAACAGTATTAAGTAATTTATATAGGATGTAGCTATTTTGATTTTTCCAACCAAGTTTAATGATACATTTTAATAATATGCTGCTAAAGAATAAATTATTTCAAAACCAGTGCAACATATTTCTTAATAAACAATGTTCATGTTTTTGTAGAATGTTCTACTTTGTGGCCTTTTTAACATAAAACATGCCTCCCACTATTATGTGACTTAATTTGGGGTTCTTGTAATATCTCAGCCTAGTACTTGGGGGGGAAAGCCAGGTCTTAACAGCCTTACAGAAGGCCTGGAGGTTGGGAAACCCCCCCCCCCAAAAAAATCTGTTGTGCCACCTGGAGATAAGCATGGGTTAGAAGAAAAAAGAAAATTTTTATCTTTGCTAAATTAACAGTGATATTGAAATGGAAAAGATTACGTGGACATTATTTATTCTGTAAACTGTTTTAAATGTGACATTCTTTATTCTCAGTATAGTTTTATTGAAAGAAATACATTTATATTTAAATATTTACATGAAATTTTTATAATAATTCATTTCTCTGAGACAGATTATTGAGAATATTGGTATTAATTAAAAAGTGTTCCAATTCTGATAGTTGATACTATGCTAGGCTTTGAAACACACAAACACACACACATACACAAACAATTTATTCTTGTTAATATACAAATTATATCATTTCATCAATGAATCAAGTTCATTTTTAAAATTCTTTTCTGACAGCTCACCATGCCTTCACCTATGCCTGAATATTTGAATGTTCATTATATTTGTGAATCAGCTTCCAGATTGCTTTTCTTATCTATGCACTGGGCCCGTTCTATTCCTTCCTTTCAAGCTTTAGGGTAAGTACTGAAAAAGTTGAATTAGATAATCAAGTTTCTAAGCAATATTTCTCTTGGCATATGTCAAAATATTTAGCTTGGATAATTCTAACATAATTGCATTAATATTGTTGCTATGGTGCATGGATAATTAAAAATATATAATTTTTACCTGGCTAAGCCAAACATTTATAGTTGGCCAAACATTTTATGCAAGATTCTAGCTTTTTCTGGGATGAGGACAGTATGCAAGCGTAAGTGTCATTGCTTAAAGTCATCCTAAGCATTTTCCAATAGTTCCAGCCTCTCCTTCAACTTTTCCTGACAGAGTGAACTTTTATGGCCAGAATATTCTACATACTTCGCTTATTTTACATAATTTTCATTATTACCTCCTATTGATCATGGTTAGCAGACAATGAGGATGCACTTGCTGTGACCAAATAAAATCCCTGAAGCTCACTTGTAATTTTTGCTCTTATGCCTTACACATGAGAAACAAAGGCATAGTGTCATAATTTGTTTATCTGCCCTTTATTTTAGAAATAAACAGAGCAGGATTTTTTCCAATTAAGCTTTCTTTTACAACACAGATTTATATTACTTATTACTTGAAACTCATATTAAATAAAAAATATCAAAAATTTAACTTTTTCCAATCTGATATTTTCTAAATGCAATTCCCAAAAGGCTAAGCAAGAGGATAGATTATTTTCATTATACTAAAACACTTTATAAAACATCGGCTTTTCTCAGCATTTCAGTTTCATTTTCTGTCATGTCAGAAACCTCCAACTGATCTGGTACCATACAGTTGAGTAGCATCTTAAATATAGATTTCCATGGAGAAGAATTTTATCATATGACTCATTGGGTGGATTTAAATGCATTAATACTGAACTATAAAGTTGATTTGGTTTGATTATATGAATCCAACCATTGTAGTTTATAAAGTGTTGTTTATGGCATTGTGTGATGTGTGTGAACCAACTAATAACCAAACTACCCTTATCTCTTTTCTGCTCCCTGATTCCTGCACTAAATTTATTAATGAGACACGTTTTATTAAAATTATGCCTCGAACTTTTCCTTGTACAATAAGAGAGACTGCATAACAGAATTATGCACATGTTGAATTGAAGCATATATTTTCATTAAATAATTCTGGTTTTTGTTTGTTTTTAAATAGGCAGGATAATAGCATATCGTTAGTAAAAGCCTGCTGGAATGAACTTTTTACACTTGGTTTGGCACAGTGTTCACAAGTAATGAATGTAGCAACAATCTTAACTGCATTTGTTAATCATCTTCACAATAGTTTACAGCAAGGTAAATATATTCTTACCAGGATCATACATAGATATGGGTGATTTCAGTAATTTGTGTTATTTGTTTTGCTATTGACATTTTATTATTATTTTTTTATTAATTTTCCAATAAACACAAAACCAAAGACGTACATACAAAAATACAAGCAAAAACACCAAAAAAAAGAAAATATGTGTGTTTGTGTGTGTATGTGTGTGTATGTATTATTTCTGTAGATAGAATAATAAACATTATTGCTACATAGATTGTGAAAAGTGTAATTAACTATTTTCTGACAGAGTATAACAGTGGTTATCTGGATTTAAATTTCCATTTAAAATAATTTAAAATTCTAAATAAGAATCTTTGTATTGCTGTGTATTAATGTAGATAAGTTGTCAACAGATAGAGGAAAACTAGTGATGGAGCATATCTTCAAACTTCAGGAGTTCTGCAACAGCATGGTGAAGCTTTGTCTTGATGGTTATGAATATGCTTATTTGAAAGCAATTGTCCTCTTCAGTCCAGGTATGTAAACAGATGAATTTAAAGCATTTGTCCTTCTTCTGTCTGTGTGAAAATATGGCCTATAGAAAAGCTGCCTTCTCATAAATAAATTCTTATGCATGGCTGCTTTAACTAAATTTATCTAAGCATCCAGCTTTCTTATGTTGAAAAATTATCTTTGTTAAAGCAATAAAAATGATTGTCCTTACTATTTTACTTGAGATTACACTAATTTCAAATACCTCTGATCCAGACATATTTGAATATATTTTGGGTAGAAACATTCTCTTCTTGGGGGAAATAACTTGTGCCATAGTTAACTTTTCTATAAATATATTGACTTGAGATCATCCATTTTTGTTCATATTTCATCTTATCAATACATATTTATTTATTTATTTATTTTATCAAATTTATATGCCGCCCTTCTCCCGTAGGACTTGGGGCAGCTCACAGAATAGAAACAACATAACAATAAAATAGTGCTAAAACAAGCCAATTTAAAATCCCCAGACAATTAAAACCTCGCGGCAGATCAGGGAATTTGCTGAAAAAGCCATGTCTTCAGGTCGGCGCAGAAAGTACGGAGGTCGGGGGCCGTCCGGAGCCCGGTGGGTAACCCATTCCAGAGGGTCGGTGCGACCACAGAAAACGCCCTCATCCTGGGGGCCGCCAGCCGACATTGTCTGGCCGACGGCACCCAGAGGAGGGCAGTCCTATGTGAGCGCACTGGGCGGTGGGAGGCTGGTAGGAGGTGGTCTTGCAAGTAGTACCCCGGGCCCATGCCATGAAGGGCTTTATAGGTAAGTACCAGCACCTTGAAGTGGATCCGAAGGGCCACCGGCAGCCAGTGCAGCTCGCGCAGGAGAGGTGTTACACGGGAGTAACGGGAAGCTCCCGTAACAACCCGCGTGGCCGCATTCTGGACCAGCTGGAGCCTCCGGGTGCACCCCAAGGGCAGCCCCATGTAGAGGGCATTGCAGTAATCCAACCGAGATATAGATATAACCTAATAATTAACAACAATATATGGATGTCTCAATCATTTTTAAATTAGTATGTGGGCTGTGAATATGGTCCAAGATTGATGCTGAGTTATTACATGGATATAATGCTGAAGTGGAGTAATCTGAGGAATCTGACAATGCGTATGTCTCAGTAACATGTTTTTGGATTTTAAAACTGGAACTAGCAGTTCACAAAAAAAATCATACAAAATTTCAGAATAGGAATGAGAATGGGAACAGAACAGAACAGAATGAAGATACCTTGGAGGTCTTCTAGTCCAACCCCCTGCTCAGGCAGGAAACCCTAGGCCTATACCATTTCAGATAAATGGTTTTCCAGTTTCTTCTTTAAAACTTCCAGTGTTGGAACATTCACAACTTCTGGAGACTAGATTGTCAAAATCTCACAAAATACTGATACAAGACCTTGGGATTTATTTAGTTTTATTTCAATAAATAATTTTTTAAATAAATTTTATTTAAATTTATATGATTGCCTAAGAAGCTCAAGTTAATAAAATGCTGTCCTTTACTCTGGATGGATCTTGGAAGGAAAGTACCAATTTTGTAATGTAATTGATATCACACAAGGACTATTATCTTCCCCATATGTGGGTCAGAAAGCATTTTTCACTTCAATAGATTTCGAGTTCTGATAATTTTTATGGGACCCATTGAGTTCTGATATCTCTACCTGTTCAAATAAAATGTTATTTTTCCAGCAAAGTCACTATAAATGTGGTAGTCCTAATTCTCAACATGTAATGAACAATTTAAAAATCAAACTATTTGTCATAAGATATGTTTAGTTGCACCCTTCTTATAGCTGTATTATTTCAAGTAAATATAACTGTAGATTTGTTTTAGATCACCCAGGCTTAGAAAATGTGGTACAGATTGAAAAATTTCAAGAAAAGGCATATATGGAATTCCAGGATTATGTAATGAAAGTATATCCCGATGATACCTACAGGTGTGTAGAATCTGAACAAGTATCTTATTTCCATGTTTTTAAAAGGCTTCTTTTAAAATTTGAGAAACTTCAAGCTTTTTTTTCTATCTTCACTGTGGGGTGATATTGTTATAGTGTTACCCTGTTGCATTTTCTTGCAGGAATAACAGTAAATGAATAGTAGATATAAATTTAAATTCATATTTGATTTTCCCCTAAAATAATAGGGTGTAAAGTCACAGGCTGTATAAAGACTAGTAAAAAATTAATCCTGTAGGGCTGCACACATATTTTAAATGTTTATTAGTATAAAAACTATATGGTGCCATTGAAGTATACACACAACAAGAACCTGTCAGTTATTTTGTACAAGTAAATATTTCCAATTTAGTACTACTTGTAAAAATTCTGTCCGTTCCAGGCAATATTGTGTTCACCTGAACACTGAACTCTTTTTTCCTGTAGCACCAAAACTTTTATCAACAAATAAGGATTTAAAATGTAGCATATTCTTTATTCAATTACTATTAATATAACAAATCTTACAAAATTAAGATTTGGATTGGTTAATTTCTGGGTAAATAATCCCTGAAGGAAGTCTAAATCTCTATCTTGCAGCATAAGTAAAAAAATATAATTAGAATATTAAAACATTAAAACTACAGAGATTATTATTTTAAAACTATACTGAAATCAGAACTAAGAAACAGGACGTGAATGAAATCTTCTTACCCCATCAGCCACCTCCATTGGTGAATGTACCCCTTGGGGTCCCATGCCAACTGGCAAATCCAAGGTTTGATACCCTTCCAGACGGCAAAAGGCTGGGAGCAGTTTTCACCTTCAGTGGTAGAGTCTTCCCCAGCGATGGAACCACAATGGTTCTTCTTGAACCCGCCTGCTGAAATTCCTCAGCTGATGGGACCCATACCAGCTTCTTCCACTGGCATGAGTGGGGCGGGTTAGTCCCATTTGGAGACTCCTTAGATATCCTGGACCCATGCCATGTAGGGCTTTACCTGGATACATGACCCACACCATGTACGGCTTTACCTGGATACAGCTCCTTAGATATCCTGGACCCACACCATGTAGGGCTTTAAAAGTAAAAGGCAACCAATGCAGCAAGTGCAGTAGTGGTGTTATATGTGCAGCCCTAGGAGCTTCCATTGTGTGCTGTGTGCTACTGCATTCTGCATCAGCTGCAGCTTCTGATTAGATTATTCAAGGGTAGCTCCAGGTAAAATGTGTTGCGGTAATCCAGCCAAGAGATGACTAAAACATGAGTGACTATGTTCAGATCCAACTAAGAGCGAACTCGTGCACAATACAGTTGGTATAAAGGCCCTCTTGGCCACAACTGCCACCTCGTTTTAGAACAGGAGTCGTGAGTCCAGAGGATCCCTTAGTCCTTTTGACAATAAATAGTGTAAACCTGGGTATACCATCTAGTGTGCTAGTGAACTAGTCAGTGGCATCTAACTGCTTCCTATTGGAGGAAAATTGATGGGCTAAAAAGTTACTCAGCCTAATTGTATGATCTTGTATGACAGTTTTTAGGAATGAATCACTTGCAAAAGCTAGTGCAAAATTGAATAAAATGTAATAATTCAACATCAAAATTTCTTAACAAGTAGGGTAGCATACTTGTTTCTTTGCCACGTTGGGTTAGGATAAGCTATTGACTGTAAGATATACAATTGTGGAACTTTATTATGCATAATGTAGCAAAATTTCACACAGCAGCTCTGAATTTATGCAAACAACTAATTTCTAGACTATTTGAATAATATCTTCATATTTGCTCTCAAACATTATCATATATGAATAAACTATCAATTATTCACTTATGAATCTATTAGATTTTGTAATTGGATATAATTTTATATAACATCTTAGTGCACTATAAACCAAGCATCTAGTTTTAGAGTTCACTTATAACTAATTTTTTATTTTTTTTAAACAATCTAACCTAATCTTAAATATTAGTTTTTAGCTCCTAATTTTAGTGTTAATAGAATGCAGTTCCATGTTATTTCACTTATAGCCATATAAATTATATATGCATAGCTGGATTCTGTTACCTTTGTTTTAATGAAGTTATCAAACTGCTGTTTCTGTTAAAACTAATCCATAGATAATTGTAATGAAGTTTATCCAGACAGAATATTCAAATTTAATTACAATTGTAGTGCTCTTCATCATGTTGGATTCAAAGCAAAAAAGGTGCTTTAGAGTTATGTGGGGAGGGAGGAGGTCCTCACATAGTATCTGTCAAAAATTCCAGAAATGAGGTATTTAGCTTGAGTGGTCAACAGGATTGTATCATGAAAAATATGATTTAGCATTTATTGCTGAAAAACTGTACTTTTTGTTTGCTAATATTCATTGGTATTAAATAATCAGTCTCGTCTGTACATGTAAAAGTGTGCCACTTGTTAGGATAAGGTTAGGATATAACCTTAACACCACTGTTTGTCCAATCTGTCTTCCAGGCTCTCTAGGCTACTTCTCAGATTGCCGGCTTTAAGACTGATGAGTGCAGCTATCACAGAAGAACTGTTTTTTGCAGGACTAATTGGAAATGTTCAGATTGACAGTATCATACCATATATTCTACGAATGGAGACTGCAGACTACAACTCTCAAATAATTGGTCATACTATATAAAAAAAAATTAAACCAGTTTCTATACCATGGCAATCGTGGTGATTTAAATGTACATTATCTCCAAGAGATAAAAAAAAAAAAAAGTTTTCCTGTGAAGGCATAGCACGAAAAATAAAGGAAGGTGCTAATTCTTCTTTAGCAATTCATTTGAAAAACACAATGGAATATCTTCAGTGGTACAGGATGACTTAGCTTTTATCTGATTTTCAAGAACTTTGTACATTTCTGATAATTAGTGAAAATCAAGAAGTGTAGTTCATCCTATTTTTGTAGCTTAGCTATACATGGAACTTGTGAACTCCAAGCAAATACACATAAGTTAACCTTTGATAAAGAGAAGCTTCATAAAAACATTTCAACCTGATACTAGGACAAATAAATTTCTTTTCCAAATATTCTGGATTCAGTATCTTGTTTCTACAAGTTTACTTTTGTCAGTTTTATTTCTCCTTTCATTTCTGATGAGACAGAGTTTCAATTCTGGATAACTCCTACTTTTTTCAGAAGTTAATTTTTTATTCAGAAACAGGTGATTTTGGAGTTACTTAAAACAGGGCTTTATCTCATGTTACTGTTCCAAATCAGTGATTACATGCAGTAATTGTTATGTTCAGAGTTTTTAGTAGTTGCCAAGATTTCAGAGTAAATATAATCCTAGATATTTTAATCACATCAAGAATTGTTATTTTCTAACTCCTGTTATTTATAAATGCAAGATAATTTGTCACTGTGATTATGCTTTAATAATGTTTATCCACATGTATCTAGGTAAATTTGGAAGTTTATTGAATTTCATTGTATGCAACTCTATGAAACAATACATTCAGCCACATCCAGTATTATGTGAGCAATGATGCTTGCACTGTGTTCCCTCTCTCCTTTTCTATATCCTTGTGTATCCCAGGTTTGCTCCCTTATCTTAAACCTGGAGCAAATTTGGGAAGAATATAGAGAAAGTGAAAGATGACAGTAGAATTTTTCCCCATTGATACTGTTCCACCATCAGAATTACCCTAATGAATAAAATTACCACTTTTATTGGAAATGAATTTATTAAATTCTGTGTCCTTTAAGATTTAAGTTTCAGGTTTTCATTAAAGAATTCAGATAAAATTAATTTTTTTTGAAAAGGCAATAAGTGAATAAACAAGTAAACATTGATGAAATATATGTATTGCATACTAAATGGTATGTTGTTCCTAAATAGCAGTGATTGCACTAGAATCCTTATTTCATATTTTATGTTTCCATGTTTGAGTTTGCTACTTTGTATTTTCAGCTTTTGAAAACTTTTCCCAGTGCACCTTTCAGATTTATTAAAAGTGTGGTTTTTCATTAGTTGTTTAGTAAAGGTAGTAGAGTTCACCATATTACTACACCACACGATACTGATACAGTGGTGTTCTGTCAATTCACCCTTACTTTAGATATTCTTAATCAGCAATTGAACCATCTCTATCAAATTATGGGCTCTACTAATTAATAAAAAGGAGTTTATGTAATATGACAGGTAAGATTATTTACTTGAAGGTTCTAAAATTATTTGACTACAAAGGGATATATTTTATATATTTCATAATGAAACACCTAATAATGAATTGATTAGTTAATTTTTTTATGCACACAAAATATATGCATACACTTGGGCACATGCAGAAATTAATCATATCTACAGTTGTGGTAGCTTTTGCTGTATTTTTGGCAACATCTTACATATATAACTTGTCCTGTTTTAAAGCATATTTAAAAATCATTTGAATTGCACACCTCCCTAAATGGTGTCTGTAAATCTGTTCTGCAGTCAGTAGAAATTTTCTGAATTCCATTCCAATTTTTCATTCGTTTTAGTGATTCACTTGTAGTGTACACATCATAATGTCCCAATTACTACCTTATTGTGTAAATATACTGTTGTAAATGTCTTTAAACTTAAAGAAGTGTAAATTCTATTTTGGCTGTATTTTTAAAAAATAAATTGTAACTTTTATTATAGAATCCTGTTAATCGCATTTTTTTAAAAAAAAACCTCTCAGGCAAACTATTCATCAATATTACAGTTCAATATACAGTAATTAGCTGAAATTGTAACCAAATGATCACACAATCTTGAGTCTGATACACATTGGGTAATACTGAATCTGAAAATGTTATAAAATGGCGAGATAAAAGTTATATTTCCAAATGGCATTCATTTCATATTCAATTTTGTCACGCCAATGAATTGGTTTGCTCTAAATTGTGCATTAAAATTGCGAATACCGCCTTTCGCACGCGCAGCCGAGTAAGTAACGCGCGCGCCAAACGGACCAGTTTTCCTTCCTTCCTCGAGTCTGCAAAAAAAAAAAAAAAATCAAGGAGCTGCGACGCAGGCGCAGAAACGAGTAAGGAGGGGCGGAGCTCCAGGAGAATAGGGAAAATGGCGGAATACGTGCAGGTGATGAAGAGGGCGTTGCAACAGCTCGGTGGACATGGCGGCATCCGTGGCCTTATGTGGCAGCTGCTCAGGTGAAATGTGCTGATTGCGCCAACGTGAGGAACTAGGACGGGCGGTCCTTTCCACCTGGGGAGCGCCTTGCCGGAAACTCCGGCTCGCAGGGTTGAATGACATGACCCTCAGAGGATCGTTAGAGGAGAAAGTATTTCCAGAAATTCGTGAGTTAAGCAGAAAAGGGCCGAAAGGAAGCCGACCTTTGATGTCCGGAGCGGGCATCTCTCGAAGATGGGAACTAGGGCGATCTTATAATGAAGAGGTCTTCAAACTTGGCCGCTTTAAGACTTGTGGACTCCAACTCCCAGAATTCTCCAGTCAGCTATGCTGGCTGGAGAATTCTGGGAGTTAAAGTCCACAAGTCTTAAAGCGGCCAAGTTTGAGGACTTCTGTTATAATGGCTGCAAAGCCTGTTGTTGGGAAGGTCACTGTTGGGAAGCTTTCTCTAACTTTGGGCTCTTCTTGACTGGGGCGTAATCCCTGCGAAAGGACGGGGCTCTGTTTATGGGCGCCGTCCAAGGTTTGAGAGATACAGGTTGCATTCAGTCACTCTGCCCCAGTCACTCCTGACGTCGAGCTGCTCTTTGCCTCCCGACCTTGCTTTTAACAAGGTTACTGTAACTGGACTAAGAAATACATTTGCGCCGATTGTTTCGCCGGTGCTGTGCTGAAGGAAAGGATAGCAATAGTTTTAAATAATACGGAGATGGTTTAGTCACTTAGAGAACAGATAATTGATTACAATTATTTGGGAATAATTTTTCAGGCTGCTAACTCATTGGCAGATAACTTGTCTAGTTGCAAGCAAGTTATGTAGAAATAATAATATTTCTGTGGTATTATTTGTAAGAATGTAATAAATAATAATGTAATATATAGGGGACTTGATTATTTTCACCTTCCCCTAATAGTTTTGTTTATTTGGAGCAGCAACTGAAAAAAAAAATCTTATCCATTTGATTGCCCTAATAAGATATTTGAAAGGTAAAACCAACCAAAGCTACCTTATACAGTAGTTTTGCATTAGTTATCTAACAGTGATCTCCAGGCTTTCAGATAGAGACTTTCACAATTTATTTGAAGGTGACAGAGACTCAAGATCACATAACTATAAACCCCTTGAAGATTTTATCTTATTTTGGACATTCACAGGGTCAATGATCTGAAGATTGGTACCCTAGTAGGGACTGATAAGTATGGAAACAAATACTATGAAGACAAGAGGTTCTTTTTTTGGTAAGTAAGGATACTTGGATTATTTGAGTTTATTCTTCTAAAGAATTTGGGTTATTTAACATATTTACCAACAATAATAGTATTGTTTTTTTCTTGTGTCTTATATGGATATAATTAAATTTGATGTTAAATAGGAAAAGCCAATAGCAATAAGAAGTCATTGTTGCCACAACAGAGATTTGGATTTTTGCTCAAATAAATATATTTTAAAATGGGTTAAATAGTATTAAATCTTTTGTATGACTAATCCAGATTTTGATCTTGCTTTTCTGGCATTATTTTAGCTTTAAAAAGTAACTTTACTTAAAAAAAAGTTCATGCATAGAAAAAATAAACAATGTTAGTGTTTTAAAACATGTTTGCATTTGTTTATTCATTGTATATGGCTGCCCATCTCACATCCTGACTCTAGACAACCTTCAATTTTAAAATAAGTAAAAATATATACAATTACTAAAATAAACTTAAAAATGAATCACAGGTAAAATATGTGGCAGTTGAAGAATCATAAAAGATGTTCAATATAGTCAGGAAACTTGATCACACATGGGGGCAGACGTAGTTATTGAACCGGATCTTCAAGACTTTCCGAAAGGCCCACAGAATGGGAGTGAACCAAATCTCAATGTTCCAGAAGCGGAAAGGGGTCTTGTTTGGGTTCTGCCTGCTGAGACTACTTAGCCTATGGAATCTACAACATGCTTCTCCTGTGGGTCAAATAGGAAGGATAGAAACAATCAGAGAGACACAGACCCGTAATTTAATTAGAAGAATAATTAATACATAATGATTATATTGATCACAGGTTCCTTAGTATTGCAAAATATTGTATTTTACGTTTCTCATACAAATAAAACTGTTAAGGGAAATTTAATCTTAAGAGATGTATAAACTCCAGATTTATAAATCTGAAAATGGAAAATAATTTGTATCAAAATTAGAAGTATAAACAAGTAGTTTATCTTATAGAAACCAATAGATATTTGTCCTTGTAATTCCATTTGAAATGTTACCATTAGAAGTTATTTTTCCTATATAATAGTTATTTAAATTGCTAAATTAAAATATTACTTCCTGGGAAGTCATAGTAAAGATACATATATTGTCCTGCATTCTTCTATTTTAAAAAAAAATATCTGTATATGTGAATGATATTTTTGGTTTCTAATTATCCTCTTTCTTTCCATATGTCAAGCTAGTCCTTCCCAAAATTGAGAATAGAGCTATAGATTGCCATAAAACTTGATTTTGTATAACTCTAAGAGAATTAGTTTGTAATTAATAAAATAGCATACATAGATCTTTTAAAAATTCTGATATACTTTTTAAAATTGTTATCTTTAAGGTCGTCATAGGTGGGTCATATATACTGCAGAAATGGATGGCAGGAACACATACTGGGATTTAGATGGAAGCATGATACCTCCTGAATGGTAAATACATACATTTATTTATGTTTTTAATAACTTGTAAAACAGGTATCTCAGAACAATTCTGTTTATAAAGTAAATTAATTTGAGTCTTTTAAACTATACCTCAGTCTCTAACCCTTTACCAGCAAATGGATCATTATGGATCATTATGGTCGTTACATCAGATCAGTGAAAGTGTTAGGTTCAAACATCACTATAAATACATATTTATTACTGGAAACTAACCAGTGTCTTTGGAATTTTGTTTTATGTACTTGTAGAGTGATTGGTAACATTCTGTGGAAATATTAAATGGCCTTATTGGTATTTTATCATGATAAGATCTGAAAAAACATGTTACAAAAAGTTTGCTAGAACCAAAAACAATATTACATATGAAGTTCCATTGTCTGTCTTGGCTGTTTTGGAAAAGAAATATGATTCAAATAATACTAAAATTTTGTCTTTCGTTTTCCTTTAAATTAGACTTTAGAGGGGGTGGGGCTATAGTAGTCCAAACAATTGCCATAATGATTGTGCTAATTTACCACAATAACATCCCACTTCTTTCCTGTACACACTTTGTTCCCTCCCTCTCCATCCTGGTTAATTTATTTTAATTTGATTTTAAATGTATGATCCTTATTTATTGTTTTAATGTTTTTAGAACATTTTAATTGAATGTCTGTAGATCGCCTAGAATTGCTTCTGGCAAGTTGGGTGGCATACAAATTAAATAAATAATTCTTAGCTTAAGCTTTAGAAATAAGGCACAGTGCCTATAATTTTTTTTGCCATATTCTTCATTTAATGTCTAATGATTAATCTGTCAATTGCTAATTGCTTTGAAAAACTATGTATATTAATACCTACAGTTTTAGTCAAGGTCATTAAATGTTCTGTAATATTGTACTGTTGGATATTTTCAATTGCACCATCATTGATAAGTTTTAAATATTACATGAATATTTTATGAATATATTAAATATTACATTTTCCCATTACTTCAATGGAAAAAATTCTGATTTAACAATAACCATTTTGCTGCTTTAATTTAATTTAATTCTTGTAAGAACTTGTTCTGTTTTTTTAAGGTTTGATTAGTATTTATGTTATAGTATGCTAATTTCTAAGGTTTGCATATTTAAAAAATGCTTTGGAAGAAAAGTTTTGGTTAAATCAGGCCTATGTTTTTCAGTCTTTCACTGAAGCCTGGGGAGAGAAATCTCTAAATTTTTGTTTTCATGTGGAAACAGTACTGAGAATTTAAAATTAAATGCAATGAATAAAATAAATTCTATCACTCTGGATCCTTGATGTACTCATTGGTATAAATAAGAGAATTTTTTTCCTGATTTTCCTCATTAGACCTTTTATCATATTTTTATTTAATCAGCTTGTCACAAGCAGGTTTCTCTTGGACTACTGCATCCGTACTTCAAAACTCCTGATTACCATTCATTGGCAGCAGAAAAGTCTATAAAACTAAGTAATATTTGCAGTCCAAATCTTATAGCCTTAGCTTTGTCAAGTTATTGAATATGAGAAATTGCCCTTAGTTTTTTGACAACTATATTCAATTTCCATGACTTCAAATTTATTAAATATAAAATTTAACCGATAAGTCTGCATAATTTTAAAAATGTAAGTATTTTTTATGTTTTAGGTAGTATAACTGTTGTCCATAAAACATAATTTGTTGTGAACCTATGTGTGCAAATATATGTCCTTAGGAAATATTTTTTATTGTATTGTTTTCGTTACAAGGCATCGTTGGATTCACTGTATGACAGAAGATCCCCCAACTACACATCCACCAGTGAGTCGTAAATTCATTTTCCAAAATCATAGAATGAATGAAAGTGGTACTCCTAAACAATATGTACCATACTCTACAACACGTAAGAAGATACAAGAGTGGGTTCCACCATCTACACCTAGCAAGTGAAAGAAAAAGAACATGGTGATTTGCAAGAAAAAGATTGTTTGTTGTGCATCTTTATTTAAAATAAAAATTTTGATTAAAAACATTTTGAAATCAAAATACTGTTGGGAAAGAGTTATCTGAGTAATGGAATGGGCAGAAACCGGATATATAATATGCTGTAAAAGTGCATGTTTGGGGAATATTTTTGTAGAATTGAGAGTCTGGTAGAATCCAGTAGCTTTCATTATAAAATATTCCTCAGTAAGAAAACAATATAAGATCAAACAAGAATGTAGCTTACCATATCATAAATACTCTGTCCAAGATCTGGGAAAACAATCCAAGTTTTCAACAATTTACATAAAGTCACTAAGAGGAAGTAGTATAGATCACTCTGAGAATGTCATTTCAAAGGATGAGGAGGTTGCCACTGGGAAGACACACTGCTTGATTGATGGAACCTGGAACATACCTACTCTTCCTGACCTCACCAGATGGATAGAAACATGGATTAATGGATCTCTATTATAATCATTGTAGGATATATAAATTATTAGATATATAAATTAGATGTATAAAAGCTTCAAGTCACACAGTGTGCAATGGAAAAACTAATACTAAAAACTTTACTCGGAGACTAAATCAGAAGTGAGGAATGTCAACTAACTTCAAACAAAATTTCTTGATTCCACCTGTAACACCATACCAAAACAAGTAATGAAATATAGATGTCTGTTGAATGTCTAATGTTAACACTATCTGGGTGAATAAAATAAAGTGAAAATACAGTCTAACAAATCAATTATTTTATTTCTTGCACTTTTGATTTGACCTTGAAAAGAATATTGTTCAATGCAGGATGTTTTGAAGTGCTTCAAATTAACATGCTTTTAAGATTTGTCTAAAGGTTTATAATATCTAAAAGAATCAGCAGCGTAAAATCTTTGAACTTCAATAATGTTTTAATAATGTCACTAGTATATTCAAAACTTAGACTAGTTACCAAATTCTGAGTTAAAATAATTTATACATAAAATTTTATTTATTTATTTATTTATTTATTAAATTTATATACCGCCCTATTCCTAAGGGACTCAGGGCGGTGAACAGCGAACGATAAAAATACATGTAATACAAACGTTAATAATAAAAAAAAACCAATTAAAATATACTAAACATTCTGGTCCTAGATAATTCAAGACATCCCAGTTTAAAATAAAATCAAAAAGCAATATAAAGGGAAAGTTAGGCCAGGCCGGCCTGCTGAAACAGGAATGTTTTGAGGGCACGGCGGAAAGTGCGCAGATCCGGAATCTTCTGTATCTCTGGGGGGAGCTCGTTCCAGATGGTGGGTGCCCCCACAGAAAAGGCTCTCCCCCTGGGGGCCGCCAGTCGACATTGTTTGGCTGACGGCACCCTGAGAAGCCCCTCTCTATGGGAGCGTACTGGGCGGTGAGAGGCTATTGGTGGCAGAAGGCGGTCTCGTAAGTACCCCGGTCCTAAGCCATGGAGTGCTCTAAAGGTGGTAACTAAGACCTTGAAGCGCACCCGGAAGACCACAGGGAGCCAGTGCAGCTCGCGCAGGAGGGGAGCCACATGGGAGCGCCATGCTGCTCCCATAACTACCCATAAAATTGATCAAATAAATGAATATCAAATATTGTATTTAGAATATTTTTCTTTGATATAGTATAGTGACTGAGCTATAAATAAAGTCATCCAGAATAATGTTCCTTTTTCTAGGAATTCATTCAGCTAATGTCAGCTCTGCCATGTAAAAGATCTTGAGTAAGCCCTTTTCAGTGCTTTAGAAAGTCCTCCTTTCATTGTTGTCATTTTGTCCTACAGAATTTAACATTGATTTAATTTTAACATATTGTAAAGTTAAATGACGTGCATACTACTATTCAAGCTAAATATGAAAATAATAATTTCTGTCCTAGTTGTTTCTCTTGAGTACATTTAAATATTCAAATATTATGCTATGGATGTATCTTTGGTGCCATGTTATACAGTATAAACTATTCTGCCTGAAACTCTATATACATTTTAATAATTCTAATAAGTCAGTTTCCTAAACATAAATCTGTATAAAAGCTGAGGACTATTCAGAACCTTGCCCTTTGGGTAAGTTATTAAATGTGGTAAATATGGAATACAATTAAGCCTATTTCTATATTATTGTTTAGAGAATTAAGATTAATATTACAAGTATTCAAGGCATATATACTGTACTGTCTTAGTTTTGTTATATATTAGCTGCATTTTGTCTCATTTGAATCCTAAAGGTTAATGGAAACTATTTAAAAGTTATGTTTCAAGTTCAGTTTTTTTTGGCTTACCGTACCTACTAATTGCTAAGACCATGGTTTGCTTCATTTCAGACAGTAAAACAAATTTTGACTTATCTATACTGAATACAAAAAATTCAGAGTTCTTCCACAGCTGTGCCAGAGGAGGGAGTATATGAGTTTATTTTGACACTCAGCTCTAACCAGCACTTAGCCCTGTATTTCATACAGTATATACAATAAAACTGATGACAGGCTCTAGTGTACCTGTCTTCTAGTAAAGGCTGCTAAGTTTTCATTCTCTCTGTCCCTCTCAGTAGTAATTTCCTTGCAGCCTGAGAAGCAATAGGAAAAAAGATGGTCATTGATCATTTCTTAACAAAATCAAAAAGTTTTAAAAAATAAAAGGGCACAATTCCTTTTTGAAAAAGGCCAGCCAGATAAAATATCTTTATTATATATGATAAAAATAAACATATCACTCCAGAATATATTAAATACATACATATTATACATATTTTAAATGTATCAGTATACTTTTAAATGGAAAAGACATTGGTTTGGGAACCAAATGTAGGTTAGTCTACGCCGGATGCATCATGCACGGGCCACACCCACCCCAGCTCCGTGAATGGGGAAAACGTGATACGTCACGTGACAGCAACGTGATGTGATGAGTTTGACACCTGTGGTTACACGATAGTCCTCGATTTACAACAGTTTGTTTAGTGACGATTCAAAGTTATAACAGCACTGAAAAAGTGAGTTACGCGTTGTTTTTTAAAGTGAGTTGTTTTTCCCATGATCATTACAGTATTCCCATGGTCATGTGATCAAAATTCAGACACTTGGCAACTAACACATTTAGGATGATCGCAGTGTCCTAGAGTCATGTAATCACCTTTTGTGACCTTCTGACAAATACAATGGGATAATTAGATTTATTAACAATTGTGTTACTAATTTAACAGGTGCAGCCATTCACTTAACAACTATGGCAAGAAAGGTCATAAAATGGGACAAAACTCAAAAATGTCTTGCTTAGCAACAGAAATTTTGGGTTCAATTCTGGTTGTAAATAAAGGACTATCTGTATTGTGTTACTTATGGCTACCTATAGTTGTGAAAGTTGACGGGAGCAAAATCTATTTGAGCTGTGGTGTTGGAGAGAGTTCATTCCTTGGACCACAAAGATGACAAGGACTGGAGTGTATAAACCCATGCATATTGCTGGGAGGCAAAATCACTAAATGTTGTCTTATTTCAGCCATGCCATATGCTCAAACTCACTGGAAAAGGCAGTTGTGCTTAGAATGATTGGTGCAGTGGTTGGTAGCGCCCACCCGCCCGGACATCTCTGCGCGTGCACAGAAGTGTCCACCAGCAAACCGGTAGCGGCAGGATTTGAAACCCACTACTGGGTTGGTGGTACAAGGAAACAAGGCTACCAAAAACATGTTGGCTAGATATCATCAAAGCCAATGAGCTAGAGCCTAAAACCACAAAGAAACCAACAGCACGAAATATATGAAGAGAGCTAGTCCACAGAATTGGACACAATTGAATGGATAGCATTTTATATTTTAAAAAGTTAATATTTAAAGTATAAATAAGCAGATAAGAATAAATACCGGTAAGCTTCCTTGATCTTAAGGTATTAAGACTAATAATTTAATATAAGCTTTTTGTGGATAATGTCAGAGGCAATCAGCCCCGTTACCTTTCTAGGGTAATTGCCTGGATAGTGGCATTTTCCTTGTGTATACTTTTGAAAAATAAAACCGGAATACATCTTCTAATTATACTCATATTTATTGTAAAGAAGAAAATAAAACATCTTACTGATCTAATTAGTTAATTGTTACATTTTTGCAAAAGTTCGTGCCGGTTGTTTCTCAGTAGCCGGACCTTTCTTGGCAAGAGAACAAAGGAAAGATGTGTGAAAGAATGTGGGTGGAGTACATGCGCAGTTTAGCTTACTGATAAGGATTCTTGGCATGCTACGGAAAGTCTGATAGTCCAGAAATGAGAGCTCAGCTGGTAAATAAAAAAACGCAGTGACAGATAAAATATTTGCTCTGAATTAATATCTGGCTGAATCTGTTGCTATGGTAGAGGTGATGTATGCATTGTGTTACTTGGGAGGCTTTCAAACCTCAAGTACTGTAGACTCAAGTAAGAATAGAGAGTTCTGTGTAATCTTAGTTCTGCCACTTACAGATTGGACCCCTAATCCTACCTGGCTAATTAAACAGACGAGAAAGGGACTGCAAATCAGATTTGGGCTAAAGCCAATGTGTTTCTGAGAAATGGGAAAAGGCCAGAAATTATTTAGAACTTTGACAGTCTGGATTCAAACCTGAGCATCGGACAGAAACTACATGAATTACTCATTGTTGACACATGGAGGAGCCTGTGGAAGTGGTGTGATCATCCTCCTAGATATTTCAGCTGCTTTTAATACTGTTGACTACTGTACAGGCAGCCTTTGGATTATCACCACTTGTTCAGCAACTGTTCAAAGTCATGTTAGTACTGAACAAGTAATACTTGCAACCAGTCCTCAAAGTTCCAGCCATTGCAACACCCCTGAGGTCATATGATCATGATTTGGATGCTTGGCAATCAGCTCACACAATGGTTGCAGCGTCCCATGATCAGGATTGTCATTTGCAACCTTCCCTGTTGGCTTTACTACAAGCAAAGTCAATAGAAAATGCAGTAGGGTGAGTTGCAAATTGCTCTGGTAAGTTGCTTCTGCTATTTTTCTTCCTTGCTAACCCCATGCTGTATAACACCTGCCATCAGTCTCTGCCAACCTGGCTTGCAATCCCCACCAAGCCACTTACAGGCTCCACCAACCTATAGCACCTGCCTGTGACATCCCACCCCCTACAACGCAGAATAGAGGTGTAGATTATTCTTTGACTGCGGTATTCATGCAACCCCCTTTACTCTCTGCCTGGACTCCTGTCTCTTCCCACTTAACAAACTCTACAATCCTGGGGTTGCAATAGCAACCAGGATTGCCAAGATTGCTGTCGCTAAGGGGTGTGGGCATATGACATTGAATTTTACACATGCAACACTTAGCAATGGAAATTCCAGCCCAGTTCCATTGTAATTTAAGGACTTCTTGATAGCTTAGAAGGGTTAAGAAAAGGTATTGTACACATGGTCATTTGAGTCTTTGGCCTCAATTTAAAAAAAAAAGGAATAAAAATGTGTGAAGTCTTTATTCTTCTGGAGGCTACTGCTGAAGATACAGCTGGGGCAGTGTGGTGATTCTGGGAGCAGGTTCAGAGGAGGCTGACAAAGACAGGCTTGAGGTCATGCCCTAAGTTTGGTTTTGAAAAAAGAAAATAGGGAACACAGTAAATGGGTGTCGTAGGATAGGTATCAGCGGTGAGAAGTTATATCCACCTACACTTGGTCTCAGTTCAGTGTTTTTTCTTGTTTAAGATCCACATAAAATTACTGGAGAGATTCTTTCTGGTTGAGGATGAA